CTATACAAGCCATTTGGAGCAGCAAACGTGGTTATGTCCCTTGATTCTGGGTGAAATTCAGTCTGATGAAAAGCCATGCTTTAAATCAACCTTGGAGAAGACCTTTGCATAGGATACTTCTTGGAGTGTTTCTCCGACTGTGGGAACTGGGTGTTTTTCTCTTACGATCGCTTGATTTGCTTGTCTCATGTCTAGACAGATCCCTATGTCTCCATTGGGTTTCTCTACCACCACCAAGGGTTTCACCCAGCTGCTTGGTCCCTCTACCTTTTCAATCACGTCAAGTTTGAGTAGTTCATCTAGCTTTTCATTAACTTTGGCTCTCCAACTAAAGGGAATACGACGCACCGGCTGGGTTATAGGCTAAACACTCCCCTCTATGTGAAGTTTTAGCTGATAGCCTTTCAGTTTGCCCAGTCCCTCAAACACTTTGGGGAATTTTGTTTCAAGCGCAGCCTTCCTTTGTGATTGGTTTGCTGTGTCTCTCAGGGCTTCATGCTTCGCTTCACAGCTATTGATGGGGACACCCACTCTTAGCACGCCCAGCAATTCAGAAGTCTCACGACCTATGATGATGTAAAACTCGACACTAAGGGATATACTGGTTTGCGGTACTTGTACAGTTGAATTATACTTTCTTCTGAGTTTGAGTGGCTCTACAGAAGCATAAGCATAAACTCTCTTATTACACTCTAGCAGGATAGCATTACCCCGATAATAGATTCAAACATTTCTTCTGACATTAAATTACAATTTGCTCCTGAATCTATTATAACGTTTACAGGCTTATCTTCAATCAGCATCTCTTTAGTGTTCTCTCCTTCACTGTTCCTTGCGCTGAACACATAGAAATCATCACTGTTTGCATAGTTTGGATCCATTGTTTCCTCAGTTACTTGGCGTACATTACGCTGGCTCTGTGGGTTTCCTCCCCTCCTTCCATGTCTGGGTTTTTCGCGGGAACCTCCAGGAGATTGGCCTGAACTACGGTTTTGCCTACTTTCCTTTTTCTGTTTAGTCTTACAGCATTGTTCAAAATGACCGAAATTGCCGCATTTTAAACATTTATGATCACGTGAGCGAAGGCATTCCTTTGCATAGTGGCCCACTTAATCAGGGGCAATGTGATTGACTTGAAGTTCTGGTACGAGAATAAGAGCTTCCTTATCGTGGAATTGGCTCAAAATTTCCATAAGTTTGTTAAGAGTCAGAGTTTCCATCACGGTACAGTTTGGCCTTTAGGTTTCTATCTTTTGTGAAAGAAATTGCACGATCTCTAACCTGGTTATCCTGTTCGCCTTCGTAGTCACAACGTTCCGCGAGTTTCTGCAGACGGGTAATAAAATTGTTGATGGTTTCACCAGCCGATGGTTTTGCCGCTAAAAAGTTCTGTCTTGCCATTGGAGTGTTCTTTCTTAGTTTGAAGTATTCCGATAAGCTGTTCTAACTTTTTTATAGTCTTAAGCTCCGCCGCGAACGTTAGCAGAAATTGAGTTGTTGAAGATATTTCGGACTCTGAGTCCGGCAAGGTGAAGTAAAAGAGCTCTCTTTTGAGTTGGGTCGCTAATCCCCGAAGCAGTGACATACAGTTCGAATTCAGCTCTCCATGTAATCCAACGTTGTGCATGTGTCGCTGGTTCGCCGATAGCGTCGAACACGGGCAATCCTGGCAATCCACTTAAACATACAGCCATTTGTTTGAGTTTTGTCCACTGTTTAAACTCGTGTCCACTTCAGCAGCCGCTCGGCGATTCAACTAACCGTTTTCCTTGTCGCCAAATGTGGTGTGTTTAGTTCAAGACCAGAAAGCATCAGAACAGCTTTGTTATTACGCAACACATGAACTCGTTTATTTGTATTTTTTTTACTCCCTTCTCAAGCACGAGGTTTATCTGCATCCCATAATATAAAACTCCTTATTAGGATAACAGTATATCCTATTTCCGCTTCCGGTATACCACACTTGCATGCATACATACATACATACATATACTTTATTCAAGCTCGAAATTCACATTGTAGTTGTAGAGCTAATATCTTCGAGAAAATAAGCTAAAATAAAATAAAATATGCTATATTACAATTCCAATATTATCATATTATTACTTAGTTCGTGCTTTTCGCTTGATTCCATTTCTGACCTGTCACTGTTCAAGCCTTTCGTTTCAACAACTGACAGCAGATACATTCTTGCATTCTAATTGAAGTTCTCGCAGCTTCTTGGTCTCAACTGAGTGACTCACGATAACTGCAGGCAGCTATAGTGGACGGTATTGTTATCCTGAGTTATAACTTTCAGTCAGAACTCTAAGAGAAACCATGCTGTTTCTCTGAGTTACTTTCCTTAATCCTATCAAAGGTTGAAAGAAGATGAAGTTGCCTAAAATTATGCGGCATTTCCGCAGTCGACAATCGAGATGTGTTTACATACGCAATATGTCATACGAAATTATCCACGCTACAGTTACTTGAGTGATTCGGTTAAAGAAGAGTAGTCATCGAGATCAATATCTCCCCTTCAAATAAACGAACCTGTCTTTTTCCACCGTACCAGAGGGTAAAAGCTACTGATCACTTACTAAAAGGATTTTTTTCGGCGACTGGACATCAGTTTACGGTAGTTGAGCATTAACTTCGAATTGACCATGCATAACGGTCCGTGACAGTTAGTTTGTTCTGATGGGCGGTTCCTTATGAATCTATTTGGTTTACTTCTCTCAGTGTTGGCGTGCGGCCAAGATTCATCCAGTTTCCACTTGTATATTTCATCCTTTCCTGGCAAAGCTTGACAAAGGTAATGATATGGAAAAATTGTTAAGATGTCATTTGTGATGATGATAACTCTAGATCCCTCTTCTGACTCATGGGGCATAGTTTTCGTTTGTGAAATTAGAAGTCAAAGCGAATTCGAATTCGAAAAGTTATGTGCTTGTCTGGAAAATTCAAACATCTTTGGATCAGTTATCATGATTAAAACTCAAATGTAAGGTTACTGCTTTAATTACAAAAGAAACATTTTCTTCCCAAAAAGCTCAATACTTGTCCTTGGCCCTAGAAAAAAAAGAGCCTTCATCAGTTCTATGCGGAAACTGCGCTTCATTTGCCAATGATTGGGTTGTCCGCTTGAAGTCTTTGTCCCATTACTCTGACGAAAAGAAATTTGTCATTTAGTCAAACAACATGGAAACTCGAGCTAACTTATACGTCGTCTTTCTCGACTGAGGAACACGTCACTAGCGATTTTCGAATTACGTGCTTTTTTTGCTCTCCACGTACAGCAACATACTTGCACACTTCGATCATCAATTTTTTTTCATAGTGGGTTGATTCATTATCCATGTATATTCATTTCTTCATTAAGTTTTTATTTGAAGCTAGCCTGTGCCTTTTGCTTTAATTTCTTTCTGGAACACTGTTTCTGGTCAAAGCACCCATCAGAGCAAGTTAATTTATGACTCCCACGTGTGAAGCGATTATGTCGAAGTTTCTCGCAATTTCTTGGTCTCAACCGCATGACTCACAATAACAATTTTGGCACAATCATTTTTTCTCCTAAACGTCTCAGGTAAAAGCTACTTCGTCAAACGTTCTCATACGTTTTGCTGTGAACATAGCTAACCAAATCGCGTAAAGGTCATCTTCTCAAACAGTTAATAATTGCCAAGCGATCTCAGGTCCTCCTTAGCCTTATTTGCACAAATATTTTTGGTGGGCAAAGCTTGACATCCCACCAAATTCATTCCAACAGCATTTGCATCCCAAAGAGTAAAGGCTATTGATCACTCAAAAAAGATTTTTTTCGGTAACTGGACATTCATGTACAGAAATTGAGCATTTATCTTCTTCGAGAAGACCAATCCTAAACCGCGGGCCGTTTAATGAAAAGTAATTTATCATCCTGTTAACAAACATCATAACAAACTTCACTGTCTCTCTCAGGGTTTTTATATTATGTTTGTGGTTGTGCTTAGTTCGTGCTTTTCGCTTTGATTCCATTTCTGACCTGTCACCAATTACTGTTCAAGCCTTTCGTTTCAACAACTGACAGCAGATACATTCTTGCATTCTATTTAAAGTTCTTGCAGCTTCTTAGTCTCAACCGAGTGACTCACGATAACCGCAGGCAGCTATAGCGGGTGGTATTGTTATCCTGAATTATAACTTTCAGCCAGAACTCTGGGAGAAACCATGCTGTTTCTCTGAGTTACTTTCCTATCGCATCAAAGGTTGAAAGAAGATGAAGGTACCTAAAATTATGCGGCATTTCCGCAGTCGACAATCGAGATGTGTTTACATATGTAACATGTCAAACAAAATCATCCACGGTACAGTTACTTGAGTGATTCGGTTAAAGAAGAGTAGTCATCGAGATCAAATTTGAATTCAAATAAACGAACCTGTCTTTTTCCACCGTACCAGAGGGTAAAAGCTATCGATCACTTACTAAAAAGGATTTTATTCGGCGAATGGACATCACTTTACGGTAGTCGAGCATTAACTTCGAATTGACCGTACACGGTACGTGACAGTTAGTTTGTTCTGATGGGCGGCTCCTTGTGAATCGGGCTTCCGTAGGAAAGCCCGAGTCTTAAAATATAATTCGTTCTTGGTCGCCAAAAGGGGGACCATGGTCCCAGGCGTTCCTTGCGTAAACCGTGGAAACTGGGGATAAGAGTGCGACAACTTGTGTTATCGTGTGCTCGCTCTTCGTAAACAACATCATTTACAGAATGCTGTGTCTTGTGAAGACCACATCGCAAAGATTTCTGTCCTATACCCTCATCTCACATATAAACGCACACGCCGTTCGTGGTAGGCCCACACTAGATGATGTCGAGAGTTTTCGGAATGGGCCGGTCCACGAACTCTATAGCTTGAAAGCTAACCAAATGTGCGAAGTTCATACTAGCTCTCACGATATAACTGAGCCAAATGTGATTTCAAACTACGAAAATACTAGCAAACCCGTGACAGCCGATTTAACAACAAACTATGATGCTGAGACGAACACCTCACTTGCTGTAAAAATCAAGAATGTTCGTGAACACAATTTCGAAGGTGGTTCTAACAACAGCGAATTGGATAAGGATACTGACAGAAGCAACTTGAATAGTAAGGTTAAATATCTAAGCTTAGCTCTTCCGTTAAATATCCTGTTCCTGTTATTGGTTTTTATTGGGTTCAATACTTGTAAGGTACGATTTGGTATTTCGTACATAATCACTATTATTATTGTACAAGCGATCGTGAATGTTGGTTTGCTCTACGTATGGAGTTGTATGTACTTAGTAGAAGACATGAATACTCTTGATGACTGTGATCTACTAGAAAAAGTTGTCAATATGACTAATGTACACGAACATAATAGTGTTGCAGTGTCAATAAAAGTACAACAATTCAGATCTCGTTCTGCAAAGTATGTATATTATAATTGTACTCGTGTTTTGTGTGAATGTCATGGCTATAAACGTGATCGTGAACCAACCAAAAAAAAGAGTAGCAGTGAAGATATTAAAACGTCTCTCTCAAAAAAGTAGAAAACTGCAGAGTTATGTACGGAGCCGTCTTAGTAAAAAGGTACCAAAGTAATCGAAAGTCAATGATCTTATTAAAAATAATACAACACGAAAGAAAAGTACACACAACACAAGAGTCAGGTTTGTACAAAAAATGAGAAGGAAACCAATTTTTAGAACAAGAAATGTTAACTCTTGAATGAGATATGTCTGCAATTCAAGTAGAGATAAACATGGAAAGAAATATCTCAAATACTTAAGGTTCTTTTCGTGTAATTTCCCATATAGTGAGTACATGGATGTAATTCACAGAGGCAATTGTGCAAAGAACAAGTTCTCTAATGATATAAAGATAACTCTGATCCTGGTATGCACCATGTGGATCCCCGTAAAACAATAAAAGCACCATATAGTCAAGGGGATGTTGTTGTATTTGGACAAAATGCAGGGCAACAATGTGCTGTAATGAGTTTATGTGCATCAATATACCACAGTATGAAAGGAATAGGCAATCCCAATGAATTGAAACAAATAATGCATATTGGAAGTAAACTATATATCAGTTTGTCACAATTATCAAGACAATCATTTTTACTGCTAGCAGATTTACCATCAATGCCTATAGTACTAGGGGAAGATTACCAGCTAGAATACAGTGAAAGTTACACTGGTAATGTCCACGATGAGCCTACCATAGAGGGATATCAATACGGTATGGGCCTGAAGAGAGCTTTTGAGTCATTGATATCATGACGGTATAGATCATTTATTTTAACAGTTGGATGTATTGCTGTGGGTATCAGTTACTCAGTGTGCGGATAATGGCCATTTTAAAGTGTTTGACTCACATGCTAGAGATGTTTATAGTAAAAGTCACGTTCAAGGGACATGTGTTCTATTAGGTATATCATCTACAGACAACTTGGTGCATTACTTTCAAAGTTTATTTGGAGCAACTGATTTGTATAAACTAGAAGGTTTATAAATTACAAAATATGACGTGGCAATAAGCAACAATGTAAGAGGTATTAAAGAGATCATCAGGTCAACACAAGTGTTACAAAGACCACTGTAGTTCCTTATTAAATATGTTACTCGATCATTTCACCTTGTAGTTACTGGAACTCAAATGCCTTAGATGCAATTATTGAAAATGGATCTCAGCTTAACAATACAATGCACAGTAAGCAATGTTTAGTATTAATTACCCTGTCTGACAGTGTTACAATTTTTGGCTCTGAGATAAATGTACACGTCAATGAAGCAAGTCACAGAGAATTGAATAATTTAACTGAAAGCAGGATATCTCTAGAGACCTTGATTTTAAGGAACCAAATTGTAAAAACAGGCTTTTTAATGTGGATTTCAAGTCACTGTATAGCTTTTATTTATCAACAAAATACAAAAGTAAAGCAATTGTTTTCTCTTCTGACATATGAAGACAGTCAGGTCATTCACTTGCAATGAAACAGACAAAACACATTCGTGGTGTGAGTAATCTAGTTGAGGAAATTAATAATATTCGAAATAAACAGGAATGTCAGACAATGGAATAAAATGCACTATTAATTTGCTGTTTATGTAAAATTACCAAAATTGAAAGGAAATACATTATAAGAAAACACAGAATAAAACACATGTATGTTTTATTTTATTCCTAAAAAAGGTTTCTAGAAGATATTGAAAGAAAATATTCAACTATGAATGCTACAAAGAAGTATGAATTACTTTCCCAACGCAATGAGGAATTAGTGAAAGCCAGATCGGCTGAATTGAGTGAACCAGTTTAAGAGGAAAATAAGAGAAGCCCTTATTTTACATGAACTGTCTGTAATCAAATACTTTATAAGAAATCAGTAGTAACATGCATAAACAAGAAGTACCCTTGCCAAACATATTTCAATATTCAACAGTCATTTGATGGAAAACAATATATATGCAACACATGTCATTCAAAGGTCATAAAAAGAAAATTACCATGTCAGGCTATAGTGAATAATATGCATGTGGATGAAATACCCACAGAACTATCCTCACTAGAAAAACTAGAACAAATACTAATAACTCAGCGAATAGTATTTGAGAAGACTGTGGTCATGCCTAAGGGACAACAGAGAAAAATTAAAGGTGCAATATGTAATGTACCTGTAGAATGTGATCTATTCCATTAGATACATTCCCGTTGCCATCGGAAACGTCCAAGTTTTGACGTCTAAGCTTTGAATGGTAACTTACTTGGTGTCGCACTCAACTGGGAAGCGTAGTATTTACATAACATTTTACGAACGACCCCAGCGAGTGAATAAAATATAGCCTGTGTACAGCCGCTCCCTCCACTCAAAAAAGTCGAGGAGAGAGACGTCCCGATCTTTTTGCGGGGAGGGAGCGGCTGTACACAGGCTAATAAAATATTGTTTTTCACACGAGTAATTAAACTGACTGTTGGCACAAATAACCGTCAAAAAGTGGCACTGGAGTGAACGACATCGAAAATTCCCCACCCAGGTCCCAGATGTAGTTTCGTTTAAATTTTACGCATGGTGAATGCTCAAGTAGAACGCTTGATACGAAGCCCGAGTGAACGCTCCTCAGTCGAGCGTTTAGTTATTATTTCTCCCCTAAGAAAGCAAAAAGAAACACAAACAGGCGGTCACTTGTTAATTATACATAGTTGCCCTCAAGGAAATCAGTAAGAATCAGTTTGTCATGAAAAGCAACGTTGATCTTTTCTTGTCTCAGTGAGATTAACAGTCATCAACTAAAAAGAGCAGGTGAGGAAAGGAATAAGAATCTCCACCTTAAAAGTGGTAAACAACTATGAATTGTTACACCTCCACACTTACACCGGCGTCACTAACTTTCATGTAATTGTTGTAACGCCAAAGTAAAGCGAAGAATTTCTTAAATTGTAACCAAATTTGAATATTAACATTACGATTTGATTGTATTTCTAAATTTATTTTCTAATTACTCTTCATTCCACAGAATAAGGATGCTGTCAGCTACTGTACTGTTTGCGCTGGTGACTGTATCTGTGGCTTCTGAGGGTAAAATGACTTGTTTTATGAAAAAAACGTGTTATCTCCTGCCCAAGTTCAAGAGTTCATTTGAGGGAACCATTCTTGACAGACAGAAAATTTATTCATTGTTTTTATTAATGTAATTGATCGTTGGAAGTCGCTATTCTTTTAAAACACTCTTGAAAACCGTTAATGGGGGAAAAATACCCTTCGTAACAGCAAGATGTGAAAAGACAGGAATAGCTCACTGATCAATCCCTTTAGCTGTCCTTGAAACTAGAAAAGACTTGTTCTCGTTTTTTTTAATTTTCATTTCATCAAATGAGATGTGTTCATCCAGTTGTATGACTCTGGTGTGGGTGAAAATGCATCTTGATAGTGACTGCTGTGAACAGCAACACCTTTGCCTGGAGACATTTCAACAATACTTGCAATGTTTGACGCTCATCACTTGAAGTGTCACTTTTTCTAATTTATCCCGCGATACTCGTGAAATTTATAGCCTTTCTTTCATCCAGACGTCGAACAAAAAACTGGTACCGGCAATTTTGAAAGGTAAGCCCGCCAAAACGATCAAGGCAATGAATGTTGCGAAGAGGGTAAAGCTGGAGTTCCTTATCTAAAAGTCTCCAATGATAATAAGACCTTCTCTAGCTGGGGAAAATTAAAAAAATTCTCGTTTTAAACCCTTCGAGTCCAGCTTGATCTTAATTGGCTTTAAAGGAAGCGACTTTCTGCGGCGTGATTGTATCTGATGACATATGTTTCATTCCTTCTTCATCTCAACAGGAGCAAAGTGGAAGTACGGGGAAACAGACCGTCACGGTACAGACAACAGAGTCTTGAAGTATAGATTAACAATTCATTTACTGTATGCTAGTTTATTCCAGATATTCAAGATTTTTCGCATGCTTTAAAACTATTGTAAATAAATCTCGTATCCAGATCCTACCGTGTAACCAACTGAAATGTATCCGCTCGGCCGTGGAATGTCTGGGTACCAGACTATAATACTGCTCATACAAACTAACGAAAACATAGTGTTTACTTTTTGCTCAAAAATCTATTTAATATAATCTCTTATTTTCCTATTAACGCTGATATTCCTGACAGGTTATGGTCCACCTGACTGGGGTAAAGTTTCAAAATTCTGCGATTACACCGCCCAGTCCCCCATAAATATCGAAACTCCGGTTAAGAAAGATGCAAGTCTCAAGGGACTCCGATTTGCAATCGAGAACAGAAATCGAAGGGTCAGTGGAGTTATAAAAAACAATGGTCATGCGCCTACCCTAACTATTGACAAGCTCAAAGGCAAGGCTAGACTCACCGGGGGTCCCCTTGGATATAGCGTGTTTATGCTCCAGCAGTTCCACTTTCATTTCGGTTGTGATTACGACGCGGGATCAGAACACCTTGTGAACGGAAAGCCATATCCTGGAGAGGTGCGCAATAGTAGCTCTCGAAACTTTTTGTTTTCCATACGTTAGCATTACGACCACTAACTGAAAACATTCGTGACAAATTGTTCCTCTCTCACAGGTGCTTAGGAACTAGTCATTATATATTGATCACCTCACCTAGGGACGGAATGAAGGTTTTTTTTGTTGGAGGATGGATTACATGGTTTTCAGGGGAAACGGAGGGGGGAATTAGGTCGTCACCAACAAAATACAAATGGGAGGACTATTGAAAAATCGACTGCCATTAACTGCCAATGAAGGGGAAATATGGGCATATTTACAGAGCCTTCGGAGGGGTCGGAAAATTTTATCATGACCCAATCAAAATCCTCCAGCTCCCGTCCCCTCCACCCCCTACCATCCCCCCTCCTCCAGCACCCATTCCCCCTCCACCTACCATCCCCCCTCCTCCAGCTTCCATCTCCCTCCACCATCAATCATCCCCCTCCACCCCCTACCATCCCCCTCCTCTAGCTCTCGTTACCCCTCCACCCCCATTATCCCCCTCCTCCAACTCTCATTACCCCTCCACCCCCATTATCCCCCTCCTCCAACTCCCATTACCCCTCCACCCCCCACCATCCCCCCTCAAACCCCTACCATTCCCCCCAACCCCTTCCATCCCCCTCCACCCCTAACATCCCCCCTCCTCCAGCTCCCATTACCCCTCCACCCCATTATCCCCCTCCTCTAGCTCCCATTACCCCTCCACCCCCCCTCAAACCCCTACCATCCCCTTCCACCCACTACCATCCCCCCTCCTCCGGCTCCCTTTCCCCCTCCACCCCCTACCATCCCCCCTCCTCCAGCGCCTATTATCCCTCCACCCCTACAGTCCCCCTTCCACCCCCTCCCATCCCTTCTCCTCAAGCTCCCATTCTCCCTCCACCCCCTACAATCCCCCCTCCAACCCCTATCATCCCTCCTCCTCCTCCTCCGGCTCCCATTCTCCCTCCACCCTCTACCATCCCCCCCTCCACCCCCTCCCATCCCCCTTCAGGCGATAACGACCGGTCTCCGTCAAAGTCTCGAATTTTTCACATTGGCTTTCTTACTTCAATTTGATTGAGTACCGTCAGTCAAAGCAAGATGACATTTACCAATCACAACAGAGGAAAGTATCTAATATCGTGCCCAAGTCCCACCGTTTAGTGCTTATCCGTGGAAGGTCTGGGTACAAGACTTGAAAATATTACTGGCTATGAAGCAAACTGTGTGAAGCGTGGAAAACGCGAGTGGCTATTAATCGTGTATGGTTCTAGTCTGGTATCTGGTCGGCAGATCAGAGAGGAACTATTTACAATATTGTACTTCATGTATAATTTTAATTTATCGTCTTTTAGCTCCATTTGGTGACTTATAACACAAAGTACGCTGATTTTGATACCGCTGCGTCCCAATCCGATGGACTGGCTGTGATTGGCGTTTTCTTTGAGGTATGTATGGAAATATCATATATGTTGCTATATTAACTTTACCAGGTATTTTGTTAGTGATGAATTTGGAAAAATAAAAAATTTTCCTGGAATAGCAACTGTTCCTAAAATGAAAGGAATCAGCCGCATGGTGGAATCGGTAAGGGTTGGGAAAGACTGGGGTAGAGAGGTAAAGTTGAAGTTGAAGTCATCGCAATTGAGGAAATTGAAAATTGGATTGATTGAAGAAAAATGTACATCAACAGCTTTTCTTTAGTGAGATCATTTGCATACCTGTAAAAAATACCCCGTACAGTTGCAAGGGATTCATTCCCGCTCCACGACAAACATTAGAGTTGGTAACGCTTGACGTTGGCGCACAAGTAAGACTTCATACTGCACATTGTACAAAAGGCAGCAACAAGGGTCAGATTTCAATAGTTAGGGAACTAACGCTAAATATTGGTTTGGGAGATGGAGTTCATCACTCCAAGAGGAACATCTTTCAGTTAAAAACTTCTAAGACGATGAGATCTTTAATGTGAAAACATGCTACCTATTTCAGGAAAAGAAGAAAAGAGAAAAAGGGAAAGGAAAAAAGCACTATTATGCCCTCCTCAAACTTTACTATGCTCTGAGAAGAATAAGGGATTTTGGTAAGGCCTTAGCAGCTTGTATCATTTTATATATCCGCTTACATATCCGTTTGTGTCACGCCAAAGAGTCTCTATAAATTCAAGGGTCAAGCTATCAATTAGAGATAGAGAAGTTTCCACTGTTCTACTGTTAGTCTTCGTCACGTGATGAGGTTCAATGATTGCGCGTCGCTATAAAGGGATAGTTAGCTGCTATTGGTGCGTTTTGGCGATATCTTATCAGGGCATTTTGATCCTCGTTGCATTTCGACAAGTAGATGTTGGTTCCTCGCAGGAGTTCTAATGTTGTCATTTCATTGCCCACTGTGCGGGTATCGTGCAAGGAATAAAAACAAAAAAGTTTTAAATAACAATACCCTATACGAAACATAACTTAAATACGAAGATCGTTAACACGACGATATCTTGAGAATATCCTTCTCCCATCACGGATCCAGAGTGTCCTCACTATAGATTTTCGAGCAGAAGTTTCATGAAAAGTAACACAATATCAACGGAAAGGTATTTTTTGATTTGAAAGTAAATTTTCAGAACCAAAATTAAACGAAATATATGGCAGACAGTGTCGAGTATTTATACCTAGATATTGGAAGCGAAAAGGTTAAACATTTATAACATCAGGGCAGCTAATACAACCACTTTCTCTCTCAGGTGCCGAAGCTTCAGTCAGATACATAGCACTGCTCGACTTGGTTCCTGAACTGAAAGACCTCTCATCGTTCTACTCCTACAAGGGTTCCCTTACCACCCCTCCCTGTTATCAATCAGTTCGCTGGATTGTACTGAAAGAACCCATTAAATTCCCTGGTCCTTTGGTAAGAATATTTTTATGCTATTTTTCTGCTTTTTAACATTTAAACACTATTTAAGTGCCTGAAAAATTAGCGCTTACGCGTTTCACATATCCTACTAAAGCATTCAAACGCACTAAAGTCCAATTTAAGACAAGAGTGTCCGAAATAAGAAATTTGTGTTCGATTTTAGATTTTAGACACAAGTGTCCGATTTAAGACACAAGTGTCCGTTACTAGACACTAGTGTTCTATTTTAGATACCAGTGTCTGATTTTATATTTTAGACATAAGTGTTCGATTTTAGGACGATAAGCAGTACCTGACGTGTCTAAATTGGACCCTTTTTCCTTTGTGAAAGTTATGCTATTAACAGTTCACAGAGCACAAACGTTTGTGTTTAAAGTTATCCATACCTAAACAGTCCCCAACCCTCTGTAACTGTAGTTTTTTCCGATCTTCTATTCACAATTAATGTGATTTTTTTCCAGTTCGACGCCATGAGGAGATTGAAAAACGGAGAGGGAGGCCTCATGTGTGGGAACTTCAGACCACCTCAGAAACTCAACGGACGTGTGGTTTCTGAATTCGACGGATGAGCTCAAGAATCAACTCGCAATAGCTTAACACTACAGTAGTTGATTTAGATTCTCCAAGAGAATATAAACAGTTTATAATCTCCTAGATACTCTTAGCTAGATTGAGTGACGTATTTTGGAGGTTTCTTTCTTAAGCGAGGATTGTTTGTAACAACGAAATAAACTGCATTTATCGGATATGTTTGACTATTACTGTTTATTCAAAAGGAAATGAGTCAAATCCCCGCGAAAATTATGATAGTAGACTTAATTATTCTTGAAAAGAAAGGAATATTTGTCATGAATCTCCATCGAATGGGGATTCCCCACAGTAAGGCACCGTATCCCAAAGACATCTCAATGGTAATGACGACGGATAGAAACGAGCGAAGCGTTTTGCTTTAAACTTGATCACCTTCTCTTGTTTCTCTGTTAAGAAATTGCCAAACCATATCCTTTTGTTCACACCAGTGGCAACTTTCTTACCTTCCTTTGCAACTCAGCTCTTTTTATTCTCACCGCTGAGTTCACATATACCTCTTTCGTGAAATAAGTATTCTTTAGGGACAACCCTGAAAACCCTTTTACGGTGTGCGAAACCTCACGAACGAAATGCTGAGCGGGGGGGACAAAACTCACAGACACTTTTGGTGGAGAGAGTTTGGATAAGCTTTAGCACCGCTGGCTATAACTGCTAACTTTTCCCTTTTTAACCCTCTTCCTCGAGAGTCAGGTCTTTCAGACTATGGGTCTTTATCCGCAGTTCAAATATATGACTTTCATATACTCACAGCCGTTAATGGGTCTTTCGTTAGGTTTGGTCGAGGCCGGGGGGTGGAGCTGCATAGCTGACAGGGGTGGCCTCTTTTTTGTCCTCTCCCCGGTCGTAGCCGTTGTATTGCTTCCTAATCTTAAAAGGTTTGGCAATAACTCACATCAAGAACAAAAAATAGACACAGAGTTATGTGGTTACTCATTTTATTCTAATTCCTCAGATTGACACATGTTTTAGCATGGTAAAAATGACAATTTTCGATGTGGTTGTTTAGTTGAACAGCCTATCATCATCATCAGATTGAGACACGGAGCGGCTGTTTAGCGGCAGGGTGGGTCTGAAGTTGTCGCACATAGGCTGTTCTTCGTCATTCAGGAGGCTCCTGAAAGCGCGCAACTGAAAAAAAAAATTTCTGTACAGGTCACCATTGAAACATTGAAACAGTCTTAGAACATTCTTAAGCGGTTTGTGGCTGTGAAGATAGTACCATATGGTTCCATTTCTTAAAAAAACACAAAGATATTCTTAGTCCAGGAAGAAATTGCTATGACACCCGATGAAATGGCAGAGGTATTTTGCATTAATCATGATTTGGAAGTAAAAATCTTCATACCACATATTCGCTGGCACGAATTGGACGCTTCAGCACAATCCATTTCACTGATTGGTAGCAGGGAGGGGTGGTAAGGGAGCCCTTGTATGAGTAGAACTCCGACAAATCTCTCAGATGAGGAACCAAGTTGTTTAAATATATTGCTCTGATAGGCTTTTTCGAACCTGCCACAGAAACAATATAATCTCATTCCCTGTATACAAGACGGTAATATTTGGTATTCATACAAACCCTAGTACGGAAATATCTTCTTCTGTTTGACTTCGAGAACATAGGAAATCGTGAATGAAACATCGGTGAAATACGTTATCATCTGTTCATCATTTTATGTCTAACACAGTAATTATCAGATTATGGTAAAATGTTGAATAAAGAAAATAGTCGCCTATGATTATTAAACAAATTCTCCCTGTCATTAACATATGAAATGTATTGAGTTGAGTATGGAGAATATTAATACTGATGTTAGAGTGTAAAGGATTCTAGTTCTTCATGGGAAGTTACTTTATCCGTGCCTTACCAGCCTTCCTTATGTATCGCGTTGCTCCACTTATAATTTTTAACGAATAACTTGAGTCATCCTCATCATCTCCCTTCGATTCAAAACAAAAAACCGTCGCTGCGTCAAAACTGTGTCGAAATATCTATAAGACCTGCTGGTACGGTAACCAGCTGCTGTTCGGGAAATGAGCTTATGCTCCTCCCCTGAAGTGACTCTACTCGGGAGAATCGAAAACCGAACTCGAAAGTGAGGCGGAAATCAAGTTGAGTAACTATAATAACAGTGTGAAATCGAATCTTGAAAGTTTTAAACGTGTTTTTATCTCGATCAGACAGAGTCTCCATGTACACGATGTAGTATTCATATTTTCCGGTCAGACCTTACTATCGTTTTATTATACAAGTTAAAGAATGGTAAGGTGCAGTTGTTAAAATAAAGAACAACACCATTCACAGAAATTGGTGTTCAGTGAATGATTGCTGAGAAACCAAACTAAATTTGATTCCCGAAGACCGGCCCATCGTTGTTAAATACGACTTGTTGACCCGTTGACTCGTTAGAAAACCAGACCAAGGGCGTAGCTGGCGATCCTGGGGTGCCCATGACCCCACCCCCCCCACCCCCCTCTTTTTAAGCCCTTTTTGTCACACTAAGTAAAACACTACGTGGAGAACGATATGAAAATCTGGTGAGTACCTTTTTGAGTAGACGGACCAATAAAGAAATCCCATCGATTTATTTAGCCAGCGTGTGTGAACACAAAAACATAAGATAGAGCTCAATAAGAAAAATTGAAACATAAATTGCAGCACTTTTGTTTTTACCGTTGATTTTTGCCGACTTTCCTCACCATTCATCAGTGCTAGGTTGGCTTGAAACAAAATGATAACATCTTTTTTACCTGTAAAAAGACACCAATCACAGCCAGTCCGTCTCGTTTGTCCACAGCGGTTTTAAAATCTCCATACTTCGTGTTGTAGTGCACCAAATGAAGCTGAAAAGGAAAAGCATGTTTTACCATTTACCTCGAACTTAAACAACAAAGATGTTCAACTTTAAAATTTTACTTATACTTTCAGGAAAACTGAGCACTCGGCAACTCACACCAAAATTGTGATCTCGTTCGGATATGGACAGAATTTAGATATCGTTCGCAAAGGCAACCTTTTTTATACAGGCTCGCTACATAAATTCGATCATCTCCTTATTGCCCCTCCAGATAATGCTCTAATCACTAATTGTGTTCTATTACCTCTCCTGAGAATGCCTTTCCGTTGACAGTGTGTTCAGATCCTTTGTTGTTCTCACAACCAAAATGAATGTGCAACTGCTGAAGCTTATACACGCTGTTCCCCAGGGGACCTCCGGTGAGTGTTGAAGTACCCCTCGGTTTATCTATTGCTAGGGTAGGAGCATGACCATTGTTCTCTAGAACACCGCTGACTCTTCCATACCGATTCTCAGCTAAAAACCGGAGCCTCTTCAGACTTCCCTCATTTTCCACCGAGCGGGTTTCAATATTTATGGGGGACTGGGCGCTCCCGTCACAATACTTTGAAACCTTTCCCCAGTCTTTCGGACCATATATTTTATGGACTTTGTCTGCGTATAAAATTAAATACATGTTTGCAAAGACTCGTGATCACTTTATGTTTAGATGAAAAGATAATTACCATTAATACGTTTTGCGAATTTCAAGTTCAATTCTTAACATTACAGTTCAGTTGAGTATTCGAAATTTATTATTAATAACATATCCACATATATCTATATATCAAGTCAGTAAAAAACTCCAAGGACGTCTTTTAAAAGAAGCAACTCATAATACCTGTTTCACCATATTTCCACTTGGTCCCTGGGCAGTAGAAAAGAAAGGAAAAATAAATTATTGTTTCTGTCTTTTGAGTATTTACGCGCACAAGTTAAAGTTAAGTTATCCCGAACATTTTTATCTTCCACTCGTAGAAAGAAAAACTAAACACCAAAGCATAAGTTTTGTACAAGTGTAATTTAATTTATTCAAAAGATAGATTTAATTTCCGCAATTCTTTAATGCTAGCAAATAGTTGTTAAACAATCCTAAGCCCATATGAGTATCATACCTTGTGCGGTCAGGGCTGAACCCACGAGAACAGATAATATAACAATTTGGAACATTGTGTTTTGCGTCTGTAAATAGGAACAAATCAATAAGTAAGTAAAACATTCTCAAAGATATACCTTCAATCGGCTTTGCATCCCTCAACCATCCCGGTAACGTTAACCTTAGCTTCTCGAGATTTGCCCACCGAAATTGGTGAACTGGATTGATAAAACACGGAGGAGTGAAGAGAAGCAGCAAAATGCAATTCAATGTTTGTTTGTTTGTTTTTTTTTCATTGGAACGATCGTCCCGACAGGAATTAAAGAAAATATTTCACCTTAAACTGATCAAAAAGTGATGGTTTTCACTTCAGAATGAGCATAAAATGAAAATAGTAAAGCAAAAGTACGTCTACAGCATGTACTTTTTTCTCACATTGAATTTCTTTAATTAATATTCGAGGCCTTAATCTCATAACGCAGGGAGCAAATTGGAGTATTTTAGTACGGTTGGTGAAAAGACTGCAACATTGGTTAGACAGATGTGTTGGGTAGGAATTTACAGCACTTGTAAAGTTAGTCTTCAAGTTTGCAGGTGAAAAAGCTCTGCAGGGTAAATATTTATTCTCAGAAAATGAGATGCTCGACATTTCTCGTGAATTTATTTTGCATGTTTGACCAGAGATTTACCTACCTACGTAAATTCGTGGATGGCAATGTTTTGGTAGTGGCAAATATCACACATTTTCCGTCTTGTCTCTCTATTATTTTTTCTCACTTAATTTTAAAATCGTTACCAAAGGAAGCGTTTTTTTATTGTAAGAAAGCAAGTTTTGATTTTACTGTATGACTCATCTGGAACTGGCGTTATTAACTTAGTTCTATTATGCAATGTGAAATAAAATCAAACCATTGAATTGTGTACCTTTGCTCAGCTTGAGCTCAGGGAAGATTTTCATGACTAACAGAAAACTGGAAAATAATTTTCCTTTCTAGAGAGCGACACTGGCGACCGCTAACCAATCGAATTCCACAGGAAAAATCTTGCAGGAAAGATTTTACACCAAAAACTCAGTTATCGCTGATGGCAACAGAATTTCATTGTTGTCATTCACGTCATTATATAACCATGTATACCAAAATACTTTGAATTTGTACAAAGCTGCTAAGTCCAATATGATCTGGTGATAGTGATGATATTGATGATTCCTTGATTCTCTAAGCCAGTGAAGGTCATCGATAAAATTTGAATGAAAAAAAATATGTAGAACCAATTGATGAAAATGCAATACTGGCATATCTGAGAGTTCCGAAACATTAACCTTTTTTATGAATTTTTTAAAATATTTTCTAACACACTGTTAAAAAGAAATGTTTCAGCTAATCCTGGAAAACTGCACTTGTTATCTCAGTAAGAAACACATCTATGTAGATGTGACCGCTAAGAGTATCCATCTTAATGTTTCTTTTTCTCTGTGGTTGGTTGTCAAGACTGTACGAAAGTTGGTAGCGCCAGTAAATTATGAAAAAGTCGGCCTTGAAACTGAAAAAAAGGTTGCACATAAATTTTCACTTACACTTACCAGACAAACACTTCGAACAGATCCAAACGCGGCGCGAAATAAGTCAATGGCTATTACTCGTTCACTCAAAATTACTTTTTTCAACACGCCTATTCTGATTGGCTGATCTGCGGGAAATATTTATTGACACTCGTTCTTGTATCTTATCCCATACCGAGATAAATGCCTCCACCCTGATTGGTTTTTTGTGAATATCTTTGATGGAAAATCTGTGTAAATGTTAAAGGCCAGCTGATTCAATTGCGTTTGTTGTAAATTACGAGGACAACAGAAGCTTATAAAATACATAGAGGTGGTTCTTTTTTTTCCATCAATTTGATCTTCATCTTTGCAAGCATAGCCAGAGTATCGCATCAGCATATTATAGAAAACAAAAACTGAAAACAATTGACAATGTACACAATTCTGGAGCTATTATAACGGCAAGAAGGACTGTGGGGATGAAAATTAATAAAACAGACAGCAAATAAGACTGCTTCACATCTTAAAAAGTATTCAGATGTCTACAGACGTCAATCTGGCTACACTGTTTCAGAAGCTTTATCTAACTAGAAAAAGATACGCAACACAATAAGTTTGCAGCTCCGTAAACCCCAGCGTAGAATTTGGCCAATCTTTGACAAACTTGTTAGCAGAACGTTTGCTTAGATCTCAAGATCGTAGGCCGAAGGAAATGTGAATTATCAGGTTGAGCATTTTTATCAACTTTCAGGCTAGAAGTGGGTGAGGTTTTAAAAAAATCTCGGAGTGCACCTGACGCGGCACAAACCAACCTAGGGAAAAACCTTATAAAAATTGGTTATATCATTTTCTTGTATCAAATGGAAAACAGCACCAACTTTGGTAGTGGTGAAAATTTTCCAGCAGCCATGAAAATGTCAGCAAGCCGTCAGATAATATGATCTTATGAAGGTTTGTAACTGAAAGTGGACTAAATTAAGAGCAAATACATGGGTTCGAAAAAAAAAGCCACGGTCAACATACCCAACTCACAAGCATGCAGAACGACCTTAATCAGAGGAATCAGTAGCAAATAATGATCTCCGTGTTAGAATCAAAATCATCAGAGAGTATAAGCCTCACTCAGTGTGTAACACTTTAATCGAGGTCGCATTTAGTCCCCAAAATAACACACGTACAACCTTATGGTATAGCTAACTCTCTGATAATCGCAAAAGAGAGCGAGACAGCGTTTAAAAGCGTCGACTCCCTCTCGTCCAAACTCAATACACCTCCTTACGACTCACCGGAATCCACTGGTGAACCCAGGATACCGAGAATATTTTCCTGCCAATTCCAGAGAAAAAACCATAAAGAAACGCAGAGGACAGGCTTGGTAATTTAGGACTCTTAGTGTGATGTTTACCAATATAACGCAAAGATAATATAAGGATCACAAAAAGTAATGGCAAATGATTCATATAAGCCCAAAAGGTTACACGGTCGTTTCAGCTTAGTGTTATGGTGAAAGCCCGCTTTTTATTAACTTTTCTGACTTTTTTTGCAACCTTCGGTGAACTACCATTAAATTAAGATAGATATTTGCTAAAAAGGAAACAAGTCCAAATTATGACCCGGCTTTCTACTAGTAATCATATAGACCTCGTTATGTCTTAGTGACACTATTGGATCGTCAATGGTAAAAGGGGACATTCAGCAGGCCAGACAGCTTTTCCTTTCCAGGCCACGTGAAAATCTTGCGGCCATTCAGCGGTTTCACAGGCCTGAAGTTGTTGCACAGAGGGTCGTCGCTAATCGTGGATAACGATCGCAGTAATTCCAGCTGAAAAGAAATTGTTAGATTGCATTAATATGCTAAAAATTGGAAAATAAATGCGTGGTTTTTACACCTCTTTGTATAAAATCCGTCTGAGCAGTGGCATCAACACCAAATTTTCTCGGCTTGAGCGGTAACTATATTCTCTTACCTACGGCGCTACGCTGTGCGCACTCTAAGCACTGCGAGCTCCGCTACTAACCTGGGATTCGGTGATCGGTATTGGGTTCTTCATTACGATCCATTGCACGGATTCGTAGCAGGGAGGGGTGGTAAGGGAACCTTTGTACGTGTAGTAAGGAGCGCTTTTTGACATCAAGTCTGGAACAAGCTGTGTCAGCGGTATACCGCCATCAAGACTGTAGCTGTCACCTTCAAAAAACACAACAAGCTGAAATTCGTACCAGTCTCACTAGAAGTAAGGGCGTAATCGCAAATGACACAAGTGTATGTTTAATTACCATTGGGAGTTACGACATTGGTTGAGGCCAGAGCAATTTTCTCCATCCATTTGTTGAATCCTCCGTTCACCTTCGAAAAAAAGTAAGAACGAAAAGGTAATCGGTTAACTTCTGGGTGGAGACGAATCTGTTGGAAGCGTCTCCGCTAGCAAAAGTAATGACGATATGCAATATGAATTCCGTAATCTGTCAATTTATCCACCAAAGCCTCAAAGGGTCAAAAGTTAAACAAATTAATAAGTATGGTTAAGAAAAACACAACACAAAAACTACCTGCAGAAACACTCCGATAACCACCAACCCATCGGGCTTGGAGACGGCGTCCTTGAAATTTCCATAGATGTCATTATAAAACACCAAGTGCATCTGCCAGAGGAAACGCAAGTAAAAAGCACTAGAGTATCTCATTCGTAAACTCTGTGTCTGAACAGGCAAGGGCCAATTCGACGAAAACAACAAAACGAAGCCTCAGCAAATGTTTTACTATAATGTGTCAGAAAAAAGTAAATTCCTACGAAGCGCAAAAAATAGCAATTACTACCAGACAAACTACCTAAAAACCACTGCAACCGAAATTAAAGAAAACGATGAAAATGAAGCTGCTCACCAAATGCTGAAGATACCTAGGGTTGGTGATTGGGAAAACCGAGAAAGGGAAAAATCTACTTCTACCAACACTATTTCACGGTTAGGCACAAAAAACTCTGGTAAAAAGAAAGGGGCGAGACAACAAACTATATAACTAAATTACTAAATTTACATACAGCACGTAACAAAAGAGTGTAATTAACAAAATACCGAAGAGCAAAAAAGTATACGATAACAAGTAAGTGACGAAACGAAAACAAAAGTGAAAAATTTCCCCAACAGTATCGTTCTTCAGTTGGAAAGAACTAACGTCAATAGAAATTCACACTAGTGGACTATCATTTTGATTGTATGCTGGACAGCCTTCGCGAGAGTGTATAAGTCTCAAGGAAAAAAAAACCTTTTTTCTCCTCTAGCTTAACAATCGTTCTTTTGAAGGAAGTCTTACAAGATTCATTCCTTTGCTTACTTATTGTAATTTTTTCATGTGGGTCCTTAATTCGTGCAGCTTTAGCATTAATTCATGTTAGATACCTCTGATGCAAAAGAGTTTCCATCCACGGTATGTTCAGAGCCAACATTGCTTTCGCATCCAAAATGAAAGTAAAACTGTTCCAGACGAAAGGTGTTTTGACCAAGAGGACCTGCCGTGAGGGTTACACCGCCTTGGGTTTTATCCAGAGTAACTGTAGGGGCGTGGCCATTGTTGGACAAGACACCACTCACTGTTCCATCCTCATTATCAAAGATCGGCACTAGGCCACCATAAGAAGAGTTTGTCTGAGACAAACTAGTAACTATGTCGATGGGAGACTGGAACTGACCACTGCATGACGGCACCGCTAGACCCCAGTCTGCCGGACCGAACTCTAGAGAAAGTTTTGAAAGAAGACAATGAATGTGTTGATGGGCAACGAAGGACTAAGCTATGAGACTCAAACTGGCATCTAGAAGTTTTTGCGAATGTATTGATTTCTGTGTGTTGTCTCATCACTCAGCGATTGAAAGTTAATGGAGAAAAAGGACGACAACTGGGCATAACGAAGCATAATTTGAATCATACCTGTTTCTTCGTATCCCCACCGGCGTCCTCCTAGTAAAAAAAAACATCAGAGATCGATAGAAACGTTTTAGAGTTTAGATCATTTTAAACTGATCTTGAATTACATCTCTTCGCCATCTCTGCATTTTCACCCAGGGCTGCCAAATTCAAGCGACAAAAACAAAAAAAATTGACGTCCCAATGAGCAGATTGTCTCGATGGTATACTTCATGGGCTCTTACTCAGATCAGGTCAAGGAATCAGTTGCTCTTAGTTTGATTTAATATGAATGCGAGACAAAAATTGCTGTGACTTACTTACTTACTTGTGTTGCAAGGGAAATTCTCACTGGTTTTAGTTGTTTGATTTCGGATCATAAATGTGAGGAAGTAGAGATCTTACCTTGGTCAGCAAACGCGTTGTTGAAAATTGCCACCAAAACAACAACAAACAGGCATCCCATGATGCTGGACAAATCTGTCACCTGCGTTTAATAACAACGAGCCTTAGAAATTCGGTTGTGTATGAGGTTGTTACAGACCGATACATCAAAATCGACGAATTCTCTGGTATCATAGTTCTTAGACTGAAGTTTTTTTTCTCATAATTAAATGATTATTGTATCATAATCAGATTTTGTCTTTGTTGAATCCTGGTTGTTGTGTCATTAAAGATTCGTTTGTTGATCAAGAAAATCAGTGCTAAATATATTTGAATAGCACCCTTTTCTAAACTATCGTCATCAAACTCTGAAAAATTTCGACAAGAATTTTCTTTAAATTTTTAATTACCGCATTTTGTTAGAAAAAAAGATCCCTTTCTCTCTTCTGTTTAAATATGGTTGGGCAAAAATTGATACAAGAGCTTGAGGAATCATGAACTCCAGAGTTTACGTCAATTCATGAAGACCTTACAAAGTGAAGAGTTTGCAATGAAGCTAAAGTTCTATCTTCTTTTCCCCCAGTCGTTCCTTAAAAATTTAGCGGGACTATTTTCCGTAAGATATAGTGAGCTCTAGGTTAAATATACCGAAAGGGCGAAGTTATCAAAGATTTCCAGCTGTCTCCAAGACACTGATACAATTGAAATATTTACCAAAAAGTTTTTAAGTATCGAAACTTACCCGTTTGCTTTCTTCCTCTCTAAAATGAATACTTCCTCAGCGTATGCAAGTACAAACAGTAAATAATTGATCACAAGTTATCTCAATTAGAGCCAAAACCACAAAATACCATTTTAATTGTGAAGATTTAGCCAATGGTTTCCATAGCCCTTTTTGTTTCGTTGTCTTTAGCAGAGAGAATTTAATTATTTGAGTCAGATGACGAGAGATACTCCAATTGTTCAACAATTTCGCTGTTCTTCCATTATTCCCTGTTGTCTGCAACGATAAAAAAAATTCGACAAAAAGAGTAAATATTTAATTTCAGTGGAAATCATAATTACTGTAGAAAAGCTAGTTGCCGAACAAAGATATGCATTGCTATGAAGCGTGATCAACCCGGGCGATGGGAACGAAACAAAAAGCTTCCCATATTTGGGTCAACGTGTTTCAAGACTTACCTGCTCTAGTAGATATTGTAAATGTAGAACAAATTAAACAGGATGTTGCGAAACTGTGTATCACTTTCCACTGTTACTGATCTCAGTAAACAAGAGGTAGGAAACATCGATCACGCTACAACAAATCGTTTCCGTTTTTTCACACGAAAACTATTTTTTAGCGAAGATTTCAGGTTCCTTTAACTTTTTCGAATTCTCTGTCTCAATAAAACACGGTCCCTCGAAAAGTTGTGTTTGTAAATTAATGGAATAAAGAAATTGAGGTGAAATTTGGAATGAAACTCGGAGAATCGTAGTGCATTTTACTTTTTAACCGTCATACCGAAGGCACATAATTAATTTAGTCGCGAAAGGAAACAGCTGAAATATGAACCAATATGAACCAATATGATTTCAATCTCGCATTTAAATTTTACGAATGGATCGAAAATGGAGAAAGAAGAGAAGAGCTGCAATGGTTGAGTTCGAAGTACCGAAATGTCATTTTGGAACTCAATTTTCGTTGAGTGATCACAGGTGTTAAAGCTATTTCACGGAAACACGGAGATCTCTGACGCATAATCAATCCAGCAATCCTTCATGAAATTGAATTTATTTGGAAAAACAAGAAAGTTGGGAATCCTTCCTGTATCGAAATGAAAGTTCAGACGAGGTCAACCGTGCCCTGGAGAACCTGGGAGCCACTCGAAGGAGGTAACCTTGGAAACATGCTAGCACGCTAGAATTCCACAAAATGGCGAACGCTGCGAATGGGATGCTTTTACAAGAGCCAAAATCTGGCCCCACTGGCTATCCTTTGCAACCTCGATCACCCATAAGAATTTTAGTAAGTCTTCAAGCTTCTCAACAGCTATAAATTAAGTCAAGCTGAATTATTTTATCGTTTTCCATGGTCACTGCTTGCTGTAAACGTCTTTGATCCGGAAATGAGAGCTCTTCTGTATAATTTGTTTACATTTCAATTACACCAAACTGATGAGCGATATGTTAAGCAATTCTTTAATGTTTATAGTCTGGAAGAAGAAGTAAGAGCCCGTACTATGAAGACCCGGTGTCGGAGAGAGAAGAGTGGTGGCGATCCACATTAAAGGTGAGTTGAAATTCTGAATAATTCATTTGATAGTTTGGGCAAACACGCGATAATTGAAGCCATAATTTATAAAACTAACACTGGTTTTATTTCTTGATACATAGCATACAAAGCTATTTTGAATATACCCTCAAAGTCAGCTTACTTTCGCAAACGCCAATCACTATGTGGTGTTAAGTTGGTAGTAAAATGATGAGATGTATTTGAGTCTGCCGATATCTGACGTGTTGCTATAGGAGAGCACAAAATGTAATTATTCAAGGGAGGTAAAATTGGCAAAACTTGACATGACTGGACTATTGACAACCTGAATGGTGTATTTGGGGAGGTAATCAATGTAATATATTGATGAGAAAATCAAACTGCTAATCAAAATCAATCTACAAAAATGATCAGTGCTTAATTTCATAGTTACTGAATAATTGTTAATCATTCAGTAGTCATGGCAATATGTTCAGACACACTTGACAATGGGTTGAGAAGCCCTGATTTAAGGCCCAGCCAGGTTGCTGTGTTGTGTTTTTAGGCAAGATACCTCAGTGCCTCTCCACCCAGGCATATAAAATTGGGGAGGGTAGGGTAGGATGGTGGTGATCAACTTCAATGGAGTCTGCTACATATTTTCTTTTTCTTTTCTTTTTTAATGTGTTGCTGTGAACAACAACGAGACACATATTAAGCCATTTAAACAATGGAATAGTGTCTGTTCCTGTTTCTTCTGAAGACTTATATTCTATGTTATGGTTTCAGGACACACCTGTTCCTGGAAGTTATGAACTGAAAGATTTTGTTAAGGAAATGCATGGAAAACCTGTGAGAACTACATATGGATTTAAGAATGCAGGAAGAAAAAGAAATGCTGACCCATCGCGCAAAGGTGACAAATTAATGCCAGGACTGTACAAACATGGAACATCCATTGATGAGCTGAATAAACAACATGTGACATACAGTTTTAAGTCTTGCGACAGATATCATACTCCAACAGCACTAGTGGGATACATGGACAAGGTATTCTGTAGATCTTGGCTGGGGTTCAAATTTTTGATTGGTTTTTAAACATTTTGAAAAGTATTTTGAAGTCATGCTTACTACATTGATTAACTTTCATTGCAGGAGTTTGTGAAGAGTCAAATCAGCCCAAACACATATTACACTGGGTACAAGTATGTGCCTAAGTTACCTTCGAAGTAAGTAACTCAGTTTAAGATGGAAAGAATAAATCCACATTCATTGGTCATGCAATGTAAATCTTGTCATTGAAAATATACAGGGAAATAACTACCTGCTCAAACATAGTCAAGACTTTCTCATTACTGCATATTTACCATCTTGACATGACATTCTTTTTAATAGGCATCCAGCTTTCAAGTCTCAAGAGCGCAGATTCCCAACCATCTACTTTAAACCAGTGAGTGATTCCTTAAAAAAAAATACTGTGTTTGTATTGAGAAACCAGGGAATTCAATGTTTTATTCACCAGGGATACTGTAATGAGAAATTAGATACTTATAGTCACTCGTAGGGGTTGAGGAGTTAACAATGGCACAGTGTGTAGATTTTGGTAGATTTATATCACAGTGCTCTGTCAGTTCCATATATCTTTCCTTTTTGCTTCACAGGCTACTAGACCTTTTGTGATTATTGATATTAATGGCATAATTGTTTTGTGTCTGTTTTTTGTCTCCGCAGAGAGAAGGTCCCCCTCCTGGAGAGTACAAACTCTCCAAGGACCCAATTTTACCAAAAGGACCAAATGTTACTTCTCCATTCAAGTCAAAAACTCCAAGATTTGTCCAACCTCATGTGCTGGTATGTAATGGCAAACAGATAAGTTTAGAAAGAGTTCTATGGCAGTGGCATACAGCTCTAACTCAGTGAGCCAGAAATCCCTGAGAATTCTTAATTGAGTTGTAGTGCTAGCTTTTATGGATCAAAATCCCCAAAATCATATCAGAATTTAGTGTCAGGAAAATCAATGTAAGGGCATGAATTGCTTTTCTTTTGGCTCACCATTATACTACTGAAAGACCATTAGTAGTAACATTGATACTTCATACTCTTGAATGTGTTGGGTTTAAATGTAATTTTAAATTTATTTTAAGAATGTATTAAAAACCAATGAAAATCCCTGGAATTTTATGAGTTATAGCTTGTGTGATTTTTCTCAGGTTGAAGACAAGAACAGTAGATTTTGTGCTATTTATTTTCTTGTTTCTGGGGGAATGTGGTAGCCAAGTTTTTCGCACAATGCACTCTGAATTGAAAGGTTCAAGGGTGTAGTCACTTTGGAGGTACAAAAAACAGGGAAAAGCTCAAGATCTAAAGATGTATATGACTTGTACACAAAAGAAATACCCAGAATACTGGCATTTATTGTTGTCCATATTGTTTTCTTTCTTTTTCTCAAAATAGAAAACACCTGGTCCTGGAACATATTGCAAGACATACCAAACACCAATGCCAGATACAATCAAGAAAATGGCAAGAAATTATGGATTGTTCTTTACCTCAGGGACTTATGGAGATTATTAATAATATATTTTTCTTATGAATTAAAAATGGGAAGGATATGATGTCAGACACAAAGGAAGGTGAAGGAGATACAAATGAACCACCAACCAATACTCCTGCTGATGCACTTGAACATCTGTAAATTGTAAATATAAAAACTGGCTTTTTGAAATTGCATTTGTTTTTTTATAAGAGTATGTGAGGTAGAAATAAAACAAATTGATACATGTGACATGTTGAAGTTTATTTATTTGGATGACCTTTCCAAGCAGAAAGAACACTTGATACAGAAGGGAATGGTTAAAGGTGGAGAAGTTTGACAAAGATTGCACATAACAAACTCAGATTTTTATGATGTACATACTGTGATACAGATCCCAAAAGTCATAGACATGCTTCTTCTCCCTACAATTTTAATACATTATCTAACAAGCAGGTAATGATAATATACATACTCATCAGCAAGAGGATATTGCCAGCATGAACTACATATTCTTGTAACAAATTCACAAGGAACTGTAGAACTCATTGAAGGGAGAATTACTTTCTGATCTGGGAAATGGAGTAAAGATGCACATCTGCACTGTGCAACCTTTACAAATATTGAAGAGATGTTAACCAAGGGGATTAAAAACCACTCTTAGAAACAGTAATGTTGTGTCAAAAGTGACCAGAGTTAGCGCACCTTTAAAAGAACAATCTTTCCTTTATCAAACCTCCTGTACAGACGATGATTGGTCTCTCCAATTCTTTCAAGAGACCAGAGAATTGTGGACACCAGTTTATCATCTAAATTTGATTCTTCTACACTATCAGCAATATGGTTTAACAATCGTCGAAACATACTGCAACCTTCTGCGGATGCTGCCCTGATCTTCTGCAGTTCTAGCCTCTGATTATCGTCATGCCAAACAGCTCTTGCAATCTTGCGCAACAACTCAATACATTCCTCTTTTTCTAATGAATCTTTTGATGCTGCAAATATGTCAAGAAGTTCTTGGACAGTTTTGTGAGCTATAGTTTCCTCTTTGAGTGGAAAGGCAGTGGAAACTGATGAAAAATTGCAGAACCGAACACATTGTAACGTAACGCTTTCACCTAATAGAGTAAACTTGTTTGTTGTCCCAGAGAGACACTTCGTGTTAGCTGCATTTATATTGCGAGGGAACATTGACAGAGCTCTTAGAGTTGATGAGCAAAGAACAGTTCTTTGCATCACTTTTCTTGTCATGGTGCCCACGAACAAGTTTGGAAGCCTCTTGGTCAGAAGCACACTCAGCTGGTTTACCATTCTTTAGACCTTACAAGAATTATTCCCAGTTATTTCCTTAGGAAAGAACAAGAGAGAAAGTGTGAAAAACTGCGATTACTACAAATTTTGTGTCACAGCAGATTACAACTGACTCTGAACTAGAAAAAGCTGTTTTCTAACTAGGGTTACACATGTTGAATTGTCATGACTTGACAATAATTGATAACAGATCGAGTGAACGCAATTAAGGGTTAACAGACGGTTCAAGCCCTGACATTTTCAACTTTTTAATTTTACATTAATTAAGCTTGAATCAAACTCCAAGGATTATCTCTTCTACATGTTTCAACCCACAGTGCATGATATGTGAGTACGAGGTTGGTTCACTCCTCTTGGATTTCTGAGGTGCTGGGAATTGATCTTAAAATTCACATTAATGTATTGACTGAAAAATCCCACAAATAAAGCTTAACAAATTCTTATTCAACAAATAAACGGAGAAGTTAAAAACACAATAGCGTAGGTAGAAAACTAACCGTTTAGAACAGTTTGATTTATGGCCTTTCCCACTCTGTTTCAGAAAGCACTTCTGGAGGTGCAGCTTCGTTGTGGATGGATACTTCGTATAAAAATACTGATTTATCTTAACAAACTTATTTGAGCGGGGCGAAGGATCAGCTGAGAGATTTGACGGTTAACTGAACACGGCGTACCTGACACAATCAGAAAGTTACATATCTAGATGTAAATATGTTAACTTTATTAGAATATAATTTAAAAACAGCAACTGACAAGGTACATGTAAACATGACTTAAATTTTCCATAGTTGGAAGTAAAAACAGTTAGGTCTGGTCAGCTCACAGCCTTTGTGAGTGAGGTTGCATAATTAAATAGAAGGCACAATAATTTATACTCCATAACTTGAGATAGTCAAATTAATCTTTAAGTCATCCAAATTTCATAATATTAATTGATAGAATGTATATCTGATTCTAAAGTATGTCGCAGTTCTTGCAACATTCAAGGCATATCAATTTAAACCCCATTGAATCTAGTTATTGATGAGAAATCTTGCCACAATCAAATTCAAATCTAAAATCTTGAAAGTTTAACAAAATAGCTGAGTATATTTAGAGGGCAAATTTCTTCCACTTCAGGATTCCTTTGAAACGTTTTTACAGCCATTTACACTCTTTTAATTGACTTGAGTTGAGACTCCAAATAAAGACATATATCAAACAGATTTTAAAATTTGTCATTTGAAAATATCAATAAATTCATGGTTCATAATTTACCCCAGTGCCTCCAGCTCTCTGGAAACCACAAAAGATGAGGCAGGAATTCTAACTACATATAAAAATAAGTATCATAATTAATGTTGCCAGCATTATCATAATTGTTATTATCGCAATTATTACTATTAACATCATCACCTTCATCAATATTATCAGCATTAAAAAACAACCAATATGTGGGGGCTATTATGCTGGATGAGAATAAATTATACACAAATTATATGTTTTCATTATCACAGGATACTAAATAAATGTTTTTTTTTTAACATTGTCATTAGTTGAGTATTAGTAATTCTAATGAGAACTTGCCACCTTTGAATTAATTTTCTGTAATGAATATCTTGAGATTACTGACATACATGGTATAGCTGTAACTCTCCTCAAGGCACTATAAAGCAGCAATTGCCACTATTAACCAACACACATTCTTCTTAAAGGTTTCTCTCCAAAATTTTACTTGCTACTGTAAATTATCATTGAATATATTACTAAACAACAATGTCAAAATCCTTAAATTCTCAAAGTCTTCAGTTTGCATCCATTTTTTACATGATCACTCTTTTGCTATTGAATGGCACAAACAGCACTCTTGTTCTGTTGTAAGGCAGTTGGCAGATCAGTGCTTTTGTTTAGTCGTACCATCTCTAAAATCTGAGGATGACAAGAAGAGGAAAACTAGGTTTTATTGAAAGTTCTTGCTGGTAGCAAAAATGAAGACCCCCAAAAGCTAAGACCTAACACCTAACACCCAAAAATGAAGACCTGAAAACCAAGACCAGAAAACCAAGACCAAGAAACCAAGACCCAAACACAAAGACTTGTGGTACCTCTTACTATTCCCTAAAATTCCTTGGAATTCTTGAAAATTCAACAGGTCACAGGATTTTTCTACTGAGGTCTAAAATTTTCTTTTACCTATCATTCTTAAAATAAGAGAGAACACTGCTTGATTCTCCTTTTTTCCCCTGACCTAATATCCTGTTGCTCTGCTAGAGCTGTACTGAATTTCAGGAGAAGACCTTAAGTTCAATTATTTCTTTTGGGAACACGCTCCAAAGAGAAGAGACCCATTTGATGATTTTACTATGTTTGAATCAGTATGTATATGTAACATACAGCTCAGGGGAACACTTTCCTAAAATACCTCTCCAATCATACACTGAGGCAGCACCTATTTAACTTGATTAACTTAATTGTGCCCTTAATACTGCTTATTAACTCAGAACTAAAACAGCAACTGGCATTTCTTTACTAAAAACCTCTCTCCTTTATAAGTCAAGAGAGAAGGAAATCAGATTTCAACTTACCCCTATACATTCAAAGAAGTCTATGGAATTTGTATTGTCCACATCTATCTTCTTAAATATCTTTTCCCTTATATCTGCCTTTGTGTACATCATAGAGTTCCCCTGCTGAGCTATTAAATCCAACATCTTTTCTAGTTCATCACTGTCTATGGTCTGAGAAAAAATGATAACAAATCAAAACCAAAATTACGTAATTTATCCAACATGTGCATATTAACTACATTCAGTATTCATGTAGATAAATCAAGTTAAGAGTATAAAAGCCCACTTATAAGCCCTCTTGTTTAATATGTGTTTTCCAACCCAACCCTTGACTGTGGCTTCATCCTTATTTGTGTCTCAATGGAAAGAAAATATATTTGAAAAAACCCATGTTTTTTTCCTTTGATTGATTTGCTCCTCTAAATTCTTATAGAATGAACAATTCAACATAACTTTAAAACTTTTCCTAACCCCATTCCTGTCAAGATCTGCCTCCACAAACTTTTTCTCAGCAATAAGAACTGTACTTAGAGGAACATCAGGATATCTGCTGGCAATTTCCTGCAAAATGCAAGCAAGAGATTAACTTTAGAGACAGATATTTTCAAGCAATGTGGCAGACACCTAATTCAAATCACTACCTCATTTGCAAAATTCTAAAAAGGGGAAATCTCACCAATCAATGAGAAGGAAGCTTTGCATGCTTCCCCAATCAAGTGGCTGCATAATTTTTTTTACTCAATATTCATGCAGTTTTGGTTTGTCAATGAAGCTAAGTGTTTATAGCAATGCAAAATGATGTGGGAACAGGTCTCAGCCAAAATGCACTAGATATTTGCTCTTAAATCAATTAGTGCTAATTCACATTTTTTGACAAGATACATGTACAGGTTGCATGTTTTTATTTTTTTTCAGAGGCATGCCCCAGTAACATTTACTTGCTTAGCTTTTCATGACCTTAAGTTCTTGTCTCTTGGAAAGGTTTAACAAGTCAGTGGTTGTCTAGTTCATCTTGCAGTAATATTCCAATAACATTTACCAGCCAGTCTCAATTAGCCTTCCAGTGGTATTGCAATATGTGCTCTTGAGTTTGTTAAAAATGACCCAATTTCTTAATTTTCAAGTAGATTTTGAACCCAGCATAGTTTTTCTTAGTCTAGAGTTTTACCTGGTATAACTTCTCTGGGTCATCAAATGGGTTGTCTATATTCTCTTTATTGTTTCCATCAGGTGTTTTCTCTTCCGCGCCTTTGGTTCCTTTGTCTCTTTTTCTTTGTGCTGGTCTTTTAGGTTTTTTTGCCTCTGATTGACGTCGTTTTTTGGTTTCCTACAAATTTGTGAACAGAGAATTTTAACTATATCACTGTTGACTGTTGATTCAATTCATCAAAATACATGATAACAAGCCAATAGCAGAAAACAGTAGTCTCTTGCTTGGATCACTTTCAATTTGTAAAACTCCTATGAAGAATTGAGGGGTCTGCTTACTTCCAATTAATTCTAGATGTACATTGCTGTAAAATGTAAATCTGATTATTTTGAAAATAATTTTAAAAAAAAGATATCAGGGTAAGACTTACCTTAGTCTTTTCAGCCAACTTTAAAGAAAAAAACAACAACAAAAAAGAAATCAATAAATTTGTTATATATCTGTAGCTAAGCAGCGTCTTAAGGGAGAAGAATTCTTCAAGTAATCCTTAGAAGTTAGGGCGTGTTTAAATGTGCATAATTATGAGGTAGTTTAAATGTAAACAATTCGTAATTTCAACGGTTGTGCGCGCGGAAGGAATTGTTTGATCGGTCAAACACCTGCTCTTGCATTCTTACAATTACTGACGAATTCTTCAAACCTATCAAACAAAGACAACTGTAATTATCACTTGCTTTACTGTAGATCGTTAAAAACAAATATTTATCGTGTTAATCGAGGGTTTCTTCAGATATTTATGCTCACTTGTTTCTCCAATTCCTCCATTTTCTTGCTCATGTCATAAACTGTTCCCTTTAGCGAATTACATTCTTTCTCCCTTTCGTGAAGTTTCGCTTTCAGTTCCTCTCTTTCCTTCAATCCCGTCACAAAATCGTGGGTTGTTTGATCCCTTTGCAGGGCTGGCTGATCAGTGGTTTCTTCAGACATTTGGCAGACAAATTATCGTCAGATCGATAAGTGAAATTGTCAATCCTATTAAATACACTGCGAGTATAGACTCAGCCAAGACGAACTTTGCTGACAAGTCTTAAGACTAACATATCCATGTTCATAGCGCGTGCTGTTTACCACGCTCAGTTTGGCCTTGTATGTAAACAACTGTTTGTTTGTTGTGTTGCTAGAACACGAATTCCTTTACGCTCTGCTGCTCTTCATTGTGCATCCAAGAACTCGACTACCACAACGAATCAGGTAAAGAGCAACACCAAAACAGCCTAAAATTTTCATTTATCAAGAAGTACTTCCTGTCGCGACTCGTGAGTGTAACTAATTAGCTTTTATTGTAAACGAAATCCTACATTCCGGTGGACAGTTGCCTAGACCGTCCTCCGCCCCACCCTCTCCACCCATCCCGTTCCCTTTTTTTTTTTTCTTTCGCTGATATTTTGAGCCCACAAGTAAGCAGCGTATGTAGTCCCTTGTGAGCTGATACCTCATTCATGTAAACTGTCGCTATTTGTAACCAAAATGTAGGACGACGACAAACCTCTTAAGAGCTTGCAGTAAATGGAAAGTTCTGTTGAATTGGCGGGCTGACAACATGGATTTCGACACACCGACATTGACTTATGATGAAGAGGACTATGGCCGAACGCCACCAAATCAAAAAGCCATATTTATCTACGAATGGCTCAGGAATCTGGAAGATAACATTACAACTGTCAAGAAGGTGAGGCAGCAAGAAGCACTTATCAAATTCAGCTGTTTTTTATTGTCTTATTATTTAGTAAATCTGTGTCGTGAACACGCATGTGAAATATGAAGCCCTCCCAATCTTTACCATGGTATTTCTAAGAAAATTTACCGATGCAACGTCTACTGATCGTTTTTGTTTTAGAAATAGGGGCTAGTTGCCACTATCAAGCGCGATCAGTACCAGTAATTCGTTTGCAAAAAGAACATGATATGATCGTGGTAGATAATAACGATTTCATGTTAGATTATAAAACCTTTTTAGAACCACTGATTATTTTTTTTACTTTTAAATCACAGTCTGATACGTGTTTTTGGCTAGTTGCTCTGCTCGCATAATTCTCACTGATTTGTTAGTGAAGTTGGGAAAATGTAACCTACTGGAAAAGCTGTGACAACCTTACGTTGATTTACTATGATTTTCTTTATAATGAAAACAAAACATTATCGACCCTCATTTGTGGATTAGATTTTGTCATTATTAACAAAACAGTCATGCAGCAAATGGTTGGAACCCCAGGAGTGACAGCTGAAAAGATCATTTTGGTGTTATCAACTGAGCTGATAACGTGAATTACCTAACATAAGGAGATTCAACATAAATCCAGTTACTCATGCCATTTACTGAACCAGTATTTTATTGACAATAAAAACTATTGAATTCCAGTTGTTTTCATTGTGAAGTAAATGTTGATAGGGTTGCCACAATTTGCCCTGATGAAGGGGTAACACCAGAAACATAAGCTTTGGAATGTCTTTACAGAGGCCAATTTTCATCAACAACTCATTTGATTAAAACCAAATTACCTTGCAGTAGGCCTGATCACTGACACAGCATCACAGTTTCTTTAGAAACTTATCCTTCCACCTTTTCCTAGTCCTGAAAAGGACTTTTATCAGTAGAACTGACTGACATTTCTATAAAGGGATAAGTTTTTAAAAAAACTGTGCTGCTGCATGGGTGGGAGAGTATAACAGGTAATTTAGTACTAACAATTGAGTGGAAAATGTAAATTAGCCATCGTAAAGAGTTTAAAGGCTGATGTTTCAAGCATTAGCCCTTTGTTACAGTGATTGATGAAGGGCTAACGAGGGGCTAACACTCAAAAGGTAAGTCTTTAATCTATTTACAGTGGCTAATTTACCTATCAAACTCAGTTGTTAACACTAAATTACCTGACATTTCTATCACCTGAGCAGGAGTCATCTGTCACCTCAGCTGATAAGAGTAATTTTCAGGACCACCCTCACCCAAATAATGCCTCACACAGATGATGAGATTTAATTATCAAAGCAGTAATCATTATCTTAATTCTTGATTGTGGGTGTTGGTTTTTATAGACAGAGGTAAAAAATTGTCAACAGAAGCTTGAGGAACAACTCTCAAAGCACTTGACTATAGTCCTTGGACCTCCAACAAGACAGCTGCTCTCTAGATGCTTTGCACTGTTGTACAGTATTGGTAACACCACAACATTGTATGAAACAGTCAACAAGTGCAGTGATACCATCAAGTACAAGGATGATTCACAGTCTTACCTTCCAATAAAACTGTAAGCATAAACCTTTAACCCTTAAGAGTATGAGGCATCTTATTTCTCCTAACACTCACCCCTGAATCAAACATTAAGGTTACAAAAATAAAGAAATTATTACAAATTCAAGAAGGTCTTGATTAGTAGACAAATTATCCTGGGAAGTGCCTGAGTTAGGAACTGATTAGAGAGCAGTATGGAGACAATGCATACTGATGCAAGGAACAGTGTTTATTTTTTCACTTCTGGTTACCCTGTGATAATTGTTTTTATATGAATGTTTTAGATCAAGTATTTGTGTGGCTAGGTTGTTTATAGCAGAATTAGCTTCAGTTTTGGTTTAAATGCCATAGTAATGCATAGGTTTTGTACAAACTTAGTTATCACAGGATTAGTGCTACTTTGGTCTTGAGCAATGCAATCCTTAAAAAAAATAAGTTTCATCTGTGCCTGTGTGTGGGAAAGGTTTGTCATGTTCTTGTAATAATGTTTATATTGAATGAAATGTTTTGATTGTGTTGTCAGGTCTGCAGTAACATGCATTGGTGCCATTTATGAGAAACTAGGACGAATGGTAATCTGAATTTATCACAACTTTGCAATTGTCTCAAAATGTTTAAATATTAAACTTGGAGGAATTATATTTACTGAAAAAGGTATCAATCACAGGTGATTTTCATTTCATCTTGTATTTTCTCAGGCTGGTGGATCTTATCAGGAGACTGTGCAGACTCTAATCAAAGCAATGAAAAATGCTGAGGTATCTAAGGCTTTGATTTATTCATTTCATTGTAGCAATATACAATCAACTATTTGATATAAGTAATCATGTTTCTACTTGATAAGACTTCATGACATTCCTCTGAAATAGAATCTTGCTGGAAATTTTTTTAAAGTTTAATTCACTTGCTCTTTATTTACAAGACAGAGAATATTTAATTATCTGTTAGTAAATGGTTTATTTTGCATGATTTATCTTGCAGTCTCAAGGACGCTGTGAAATCATGCTGAGTCTGCAGCGAGTTTTAAGTGGTCTAGGTAGTAATGGAGCAGCCTTACACAGAGATATTTACAAAGCTGTAAAAGGAGCTTTGACAGACAGAAGCATGTCAGTTAGATGTGCAGCCGCAAAGGTATTATAAATTATGCAAAAAAATAATCCACACAAGTAGACTGCTATTTATTAAGCAGTTGTGGAAAAGAAATGTAAAGAAATTCAGACCTCAACTCAATTCAAACTTGTGCCTCCCAGTTACTACAAGGTAATTTGGTATTATCAACTGAGTGGACATGTATATTGGCCACCATTAACCCCTTTAACTCCCAGAAGTGATCAACATGTTACTTCTCCCTATAATATCCATTTCTTATTCAGCAAACAGGTAATGAGAATACTCAAACTCATCAGGTACAAGATATTGCCTTGACTGAACACCAAATTCTCGTAACCAATTTACAGGCAAATGTGTAGCAGCCAGAGGGGAGAATTGTGAAAGTGAATGCTTTCTCTTAGTTACGAAGACTTTTTATAGTGAATGGTTTGAACTTAGTGGCAACACATGATTGTGTGGTCTGATTGTCTGGGTGAGAAAAATCCTTAAAGGAATGTTGTCTTTAGTTTTAGATCATGTTTTGACAACCTGAGCAAGGTCATTTTAAGAAATTTGGATTTTTTTGGTTTTTTAAAGGAAAATGGCATGACTCTGATATAAATATAAGGTTGTCTGATCAGTGAGTCAAGTATGGTTTGAAATTGGAAGTGAAATTCACAAACAAAAGTGTTTTGAGATTCTAATTTAAGTTGTGGCAATCTTGTGTGTCCACTAGGTGGTCAAGAGAAACTTGTATGACAGAAATGGAAAAATTGTAAATTGAGAAAAATGTAATAAAATTTGATTGAAAAGAATTGTAAAAACTGCTAAAAAATTTTATTAAAATAGTATATCACCTAAATTAGTATTTGTATTAGGTTTGTAGCACCTCAGTGAAAATGTAAAAAACTGTGAAAATCTAAATCTTGTTGTCTCTCATCAGCTGCAGAGATGTGTCATACTGACACACAATAACCTACAGGAATTTCTTTACATTTCAGTGTGCACTGGAGTTAATGAAACACGCCAATTTCCTGTACACCTCTGAACTGGAGGGTGTAATATCAACATGTTTTAAAGCCTTGGAGGGTTCTAATTATGATGTACGAGTCTGTGTTGCTCAACTGATTGGTACATTAATGGCCATGACGCAACAGATTTCTTCAGTAACAGCAGCAGCTGGAAAGAACAAGAAGACATGCAGTCTGGAAGAAGTGTTTGCCTACATGTCTGGAGGATTCCTGCGGGGAGGAATTGGATTTTTGAAGGGAAGTGGAGGAGAACTGTTGAAGAGTATTGCTCCACGAGAAGTGAGAGTGGGAGTTACTCAGGTGGGGAATTTAAGTGAGAAGTTTATCAAGTTATAGAAGCTATCTTGTAGGAGCTTTGTCAACAACAACACACTAAAACATTTCACAGCACTTTCATTTAAAAAGAAATTTTGGAGAATATGTCCACTTTTATAAATCTTGGGTAATCAGGTCACAGAAATTTAGGTCTTCTTGGTGTCATACAAAATTGCTTTAAATCAAAGGAAATTCTAATGAACTATAATTTTGTTTTCAGGCCTATGTGATATTTTTTACTGAGATGGGAGGCCTGTGGGTGCAGAGGAACATCAGCTTGATCTTGAAAAATGTTCTGGAGCTCCTTTCCAGTCCTAAAGCCACTCAGACTCATGTGGATGCAGTGTACTCTAGACGTTCTATTTCATTTATTTTGCGGGCTGTGCTTGGACGACATCTTGGTGAACCAGCTCAGTTAGATGCAGCAAAGGAACTGTGCAGCTTAATAACAAAGCAAATGAATAAAGTGAATGATTCTGTGCATAGCGCATCAGATGGCAGCAGTTCAGCTAGTGTTATTCAGAACACAGATGATGTGATCAACACTCAACACGTTCTTGTGTGTGCTCTGCAAGAACTGGGATGTTTAGTTCAAGGGCTCAGTACCACAGCCATGTCTCTAATTCAGGAGAACCTCTTGGATCATGTTCTGTCAGTGTTGCTGCACCCAGCTCCTGCCGCTCAACTGCTTGCTGCCTGGTGTCTGAGGTGCATCACAGTTGCTGTTCCATCACAGGCAACACCGCTCATCGACCGGTGTATCAATCGTATCAGTTCCCTTAAGTCATCTGGAGAAGCAGTTGGAGGTTACGCCCATACTTTAGCAGCTCTTGTTGGAGGAGTTCATAAGTGTCCTCTTGGTATCCCTCATGCTAAAGGAAAGGTACAGTCACACTTTTGATTGAGAAAAATTCTCAACTGAGAGAAGAAATTAATCCAGTATTGTGTTGGTTTTGTTTCACTACTCTCTATAGTGATATAAAAAACTCATGCCGTACTCGCAATAAATCAGATGCAAAACCATAACCAATTGCAACTTAATAAGTAGTGTTTCCAGTGCTAAAGGCCATTTTATATTCTTATATGTTTATTTAAATTTTAATTATCATGTTTTCTAAGGCATGTTGCAATATTTACCTTTTTATTAGGGGCCCAATTAATTAGATATTAGTCAGTTTCCTTTAGTATAAAGCCAACGTGACATGCAATTTTCTTTGATTATCTCCAAAGAAGTATATAACATTATATGTACAAATCTGAAATGTAATAACTATGTAGCATTGATATTTTTTGGAAATGAACATAACAGGTTCTCCATTAGTTGATGTCCCACAAATGTCTTCATTTTTTTTTTCAGGTTGTATTTAACGTAGCAAATGAACTTCTAAAAACTGCTAATCAGAATCCAAGACTTGCTCTCCACAAAGCTAAAGCTGGATGGATACTCTTGGGAGCACTGATGACATTAGGTGAGAAGTTTGTTTAACTGATAGAGCAGTTTTCATTTTCAAAAATAATTTAGGGCTGTACTGGTTTTTGTTTTGCTTTCCTCTGTGATTTTTCCTGAAAACTTGCACCCCTCCGCCATTAATCAGTCATATGCAAAACTAAAACCAATCACAATTTGGTCACTTAGTATTCTCAGGGTTTGTACACTGACAGTGTGTTTGTTTTTACATCAAGTTCCTTTTGGCTTTTTGAGATGTTTGCCTTTACTCTGATCACATGTACATCTGTAGCTGCTATGTTCACATTTCTTTTTATTTTTGCTCTGCTTATTGAGAAAATGGTTTACTGTCAGTTGATCTCATTGAACTAAATGATTCTTTCAATCTCTCTTTTCTCTTGTTAATTTACATGTACTCAAACTATAACCTGAAAATGAAGCATGTTGCTTTTAAAATGTCATTGCACTCATTTTGTAATACCGAACATCTAAAATAAAATTCAACAGGGGTAATGGTAAATTAAAGTGAAACTTGTTCAACTTGTTATTTTATCTGGTAGGGCCATCAGTTGTCAAACATCATTTGCCACAGATGCTTGCTCTGTGGACAAATGCTTTTCCAAAGACAGTGAAGGAATTTGATCAGGAGAAGACCAGAGGTGATGCATACACTTGGCATGTCACTATGGAATGTCGTGCAGGAGCACTGTGTTGTAAGTATTTTCATGGAATTTAATTTTTACAATTTGGTTATCATTTGAAAGTTAAAGTACAACTTGATCTCAAAAAATAAAATTTTGCTTTAACGCCCTGTGATCCAGTGTCTTCAGGATATCCACATCTTCAGGATAATGTGTTCAATTTTGACAGAATCATTTACTTTGCTTTTGTTGTTGTTGTGCAGCAATGGCAAGTTTTTGTACAAACTGTTCTGCTCTTCTAAGTGATGACCTCACCAAGCGTCTGCTGTCTACTACTGATGCGTGTTTAGCAATGCTTCCAAGGTTAGTTTATTATCACCTACAATGGAGTTATAAGTTTGATTGCAATTTCTTAGGCTATTACATTGCTAGGTGACTGTGCTTTCAATTTTTACAAATGATTTTGGTTTAGCTACCACAGATACACTTTTTCACTGGTATGGTGGGTAGCTGCCATAAATGTTTTAATAGAAGATGGCAGTTATCTCCTCTTCTCATAAGCAAGGAGGTCACCATGGCAACAGAGCCAAAGTCCTGCAAACCTCCTTTAGGTCCTCCCCACCTCAATGGCAAAACCACAAAATATAAACTTAGGTTTTTGTAAATTTTGTCTAAATTACCTTTGGCCTTGTTATCATTATTTTTTCTTTCTCTGGATCAGCCTACCTCAGATCATCAAGCAGCATGGAAATCACTTGAAAGCAAGTGCTGCTATTGTGCGACTGAGAATGTACTCAGTGCTGACTCTTCTTCCACCAAAATCTTATGAAGGTATCCATGTACTTTATGTTTACAGAACCTATTTCATATTTGCTTTTATTTCCTAAGGTGCATATGAGATGAACAGTTAAATTTCATTAGCCAGGATCCATCTTTATAAATGGAAGATGTTTACGATTTGTTTTCATTGGTGAATTGAGAATGATAGTGTTGTTTGCTGAGTGTCAGAGTCATAGTGAATGATTTGGCAAATAAAATTTTGTTTGTTTAATTTGTTTTCATCATGGTCCTCATGCTTTAAATGTAAAAGCTAAACTGTAAATCATGTACTTCAGATAGGTGTCAACTCTCTAAAATGTTTGCTTTTAATCTTGTAGGAAGTTTTCATTCTTTGCTACGTAGCTTGGTTGCAGAATTTACTTTGGCAGAAAATCCTGCCATGACAACCACATCTTTGTTAAAAACTGTGTGCCATAAAGATGATTCCATTCTTCTTGGGTCATGGCTTCAAGAAACAGACCACAAGTTTGTGGAGGAGCAGGTTTGTGACACAACTTTGTTTGACTAATTCTTTCCAAGGACTATTGTATATTTTTACAAAATAAAACAGTCTAATTAATCAGGTTCCTCTTACCATTTCATATCATAACACTACAATGAGTTTTGAGGAACAGAATAAAATTTAGCCATGAAGAGATATAATCACTTGTTCAAGGTGGTCAAACTTGCCAGAGGCTGACCAAGCTGCTATCAAGGTTAAAATAAAGTGTCTATTCAGACTACTTACCTCTCAGCAGTTTTCAAGAGTCCCTAAGATATAATATATTTGAATAGATAGATCATCAAAGAGTAATGATTGTTTCAATTGAATCTTTCAGCTACAAACCAACAGTGCATCAGGGTCAGGATCTTTAGAGCATGATCACTCTTGTATATTTGAACGCTGTCCAGAGGTAAGTGGACTCTAAGTAAGGCTTCCTCTCAGACGTACAGCAGCTACTATCCTTTACTCACAGATTGCTTTAAACATAGCTAATCTGAGCACCAAGTGCTTGTCATAAACATGTGTAAACAAAGTAATAGCCATGCCCACTACTGAGTTCTCTTTGGCTCTTTGGTAGAAAATGAGTCTGAAAAATCTGTCTTAGGGTTTAATATTGATTCCTTGTTAATGACCCAAATTTTTTCTTTGTCAAATACTCATTACAGAATGAATAACATCTAATTTTATTTGACAACTAAGCTCAAAATTTAGATCCTTTCTTTTTCAATGCAATTTCTTTTTCTGTCACCTATTTTAGGGAGAAGACATCCCTGGTCCACTACCTTTGGGCGTGGCTGTTATTGATGAGTCAATTAAGCTGTTTGGAACTGTGTTCCCATTTGTGGCACAAAAGCATCGTAGCCAGTTGTTATCACATTTTGCTGAGTGTATTCGTCAAGCAAAGTCCTCAAGACAACAAGCAATACAAACAAATGTATTGACAGCATTTTTGTTTTCTTTAAAGGTAAGTTGGACACATCAAGGGATTTAAAACTATCTTTAATTTTTGAGCATTAAATTGAATTTAGTATTTTTCCTTTGTTACTAAAATTAATTTGTAACAAACTGATGCCAGTGGAGACAATAGTTTTTCTCACCTGATTCTATGGTTGACGTGTTTCCTGATGAAATAAAAGTTTGAAGAAATCCTAGAGATGCCTGAAGGGAGACTAGAGTTGTGAAGTTCTTGTGCATTTTATTATTTTCTTACATTAGGGTATTGCTGAAGCAAAAACTGGTCTGGGTGATGAAGACGTGAAGACCACAGCTGTTAATTTAGTTATGGTGAGTACTGAAAGTGTCTATCTATTAAATTTACAAAGTTGCTATGGTTACAGTACAGCTAGCACACTGTTACATTGTTCTGACTCCTTATGTAACCCTTTCAAAAGTCTCATACCTTTGCATTCCTTTAGTTGGAAGACATTATAGAGTGTTATAATATTCTGCTTTTACTCTAGATATCATCATTACTAGTGCTTGATTTATTTACTTATTTGTTGCCCCTTTACTTCAACAGAATGCAATAACAAATTCAGACCCTATTGTTCGCTGTGCTGCAGGAGAAGCCCTGGGTCGCATTGCACAAGCTGTTGGGAGCCCTGTTCTCACGTCAAACATTACTCAGAAGATCTTTGATCAACTTAAGGCAGCAAGGGATGCAGTGTCCAGAACAGGCTACTCTGTTGCTCTGGGCTGTATCCATCGTTATGTGGGTGGAATGGCTTCAGGTCATCATCTTAACAGCAGTGTCAGCATACTTCTTGCCTTAGCTAAAGATAATTCATCATCCTTGGTTCAGGTATGTGCAATGTATACTGCTATGTTTAACAAGTGAGAGATGAAGTGTCCTAACATTTAGGCAGTGGACACCAAGTGAAGAGATCAGGGTTCAAGCACAGGTCTGGTCATCATGTTGTGTTAATGGGCAAGACAGTTTACTCTCACAGTCCACCTAGGAGTATAATAAATTGGTACCAGTACCAGCAATGTAATAGGGAAGCCTGACAAAATCCAGGGGTGTAATTTGGGTTGGACAGGTATCTCCTCCTGGGAGAGAAATGATACTTTTACACACCAGGCCCCGGTTGTTCAAAACTGGGTTAAGGTAACCCAGGGTTAGTGTGAAATTTGATTTCAGGTCTGAAAACTTTAAGAGAAAATTCAGGTCAAATCTTTTTGCTTGCAATTTGATCATTGGATGTTCTAAAAAGAATAGTGAAAATTTTCCCTAAAAGACTTTTGAACAAAGAAATAAAGAAAGCTGGATTAAAATTTAACCCTGGGTTAGGGCTAATCGGCCTTTGAACAACTGTGCTAGGGAAACTGGAACAAGCTCCTGCCATCACTGTGGATCACTAGGCCAAGATTTTGACTACAAAGTCTTAGATCTCTTTTAAAACATTAAAAAAAACCTAAATGACAAGTAGATTTTTTGTATCATATTTGTTAGTAATAATGCAGTCATCTAAGTTTCATGATTTTGTTTGCCTGACCCAGGTATGGGCACTACATGCCTTAGCCCTTATTGCTGACTGTGGAGGGCCAATGTTTAGAAGCTATGTTAATCCAACATTGGAGCAAGTTGTTGATCTGGTAATGACTGTCCCACCAGCCATCACAGAGGTTCACCAGTGTCTTGGAAAGTGTTTAGCAGCACTAATCACCTCAATAGGACCTGAATTGCAAGGTAAAAGAGTTGAACTCTATCAGGTAGAGTTTAAAAGTCAAGATTTGTTGGATTTGGTACAACTGTTAAATAACCTTATAAACAATGCAATATGTCCAGGTCTTGAACATTCTGCATTGTATGATGAACTTAAAGGGTTATTTACCCATTGTACAAAATGCAACAACTCTTGACTTTTTCATCATAATCCAGGGTAGATTGAGATTAAAAATTGACTTAATTTAAGAATAAAGCTTTTTAAAATTACATATCAGATAATTCAGATGTAGCAGAAGACATCTGTTAGGTCGCTCATCTTTATCACCACTGTTAGGTATAATTGGTAACTAGAATTTGTAGTGTTGGTTTTTAGGAAGGGTGGGAAAGTGGAGAACTGGGAGAAAAAATCTCTGAAGAAAGGATAAGAACCACTGTGCCATTCCTGTTCATTTAAGGCTCTTAAAACCTTCCCAAAATCTTAATTGATAGACAAGATCCAATTAAATTATTCTCAATAAATACAAGTTATGAACTCTTGATTTTAGGAACTTCAAAGTCTATAAGAGATCTGCGCCTGTCCTGCATTGTGGCATGTGCCATTATGCAAAACCATCCAGATTCCTTAGTACAAGGAGAAGCAATTAACTGCCTTCAACAGCTTCATGTGTTTGCTCCAAGTCATATCAACCTTGGGCTTGTGGTCCGTAAACTCTGTGCCAACCTGTCAAGTCCTCACTTATTGTTGCGGAGAGCCACAGTAGCCTGCCTGCGTCAACTGTCCCAACGTGAAGCTAAAGAAGTTTGTGAACATGCATCAGCTGCTGGAGAGGAGCTTCATAAGCAACAACAGTCCAGTTATGCTGTTGTCATAGGAGACAAAGGCCTGGAAGGTGAAAGATTTTTGTGTGTGTATTTCCTTGCCTTTATGGGCCAAAAAAATTGTATGTAGATTAAGTCAGCACATAAGAGCCCTCATGAAGAAATTGAGGGTGATGACAAGAGGTGGTCTGAATATTACACAAACACAAAGTAGCAAGTAACATTATTAACTAAAGGTAACTACACAGTCAACTCATTTTGCCACTTTACTGAAATGACTCTGAAAATTTTTAATCACCTCTACTTGATGAAGGAGACACTTTAACCTCATGATGTTTGTCCTAAAGGGATCCATCTAGAAGAAGGTTAAATTTTTAGGTTAACCAGGCTATTAATTAGCCTTACTCTTCATGGATGTGTTTTTAAATGCTTTGCATGGATTTCACATTACCACACCTAAATTTTATCCCCTTACTCATCCAAGTCTTTCTGTATCAGGGGCACTGTTTGGTATGTTGGACACAGAAACAGACTCACGCATGAGATCTGATATTCATGACACATTGAACAGCATGCTGCAGACACTTGCAGCTCAAAACCTGACACATTGGCTGGGCCTCTGTAGGGATGTGCTGTCTGCATCCAAAAGCAGCAAAGCAGCGAAAGGACCAGAAGTTCAAAAGAGGGATGAAGAACAAGGTTGAAATACTCTTCAAAATATTTTGCTTAAGGAATTGGATGTGCAGAGGGGTTTGAATAAGCAAAGAGTTTACTTTTTTCACTTTCAAAATCAAAAATATTTTTTTTACTTGAAGACTTTGCCCACGTGAAGTACTACTGACACCTCTAGTCTTGAACATGGATCCCTCATTCTTGATCAAGAGTTCAGACAACCCCTTTGAGTGGGGTGTGCATAGTGATATACAGTGCTTTCATATATTTACATGAAGTAGTTCAGCATGGTTGGGGTGTTATTGTTTTGGTACATTAATGTTGACCTGTTTTTGTTTTGGTATACTAATATAACCACTTTAATATCATATGAAAATACTCTATAGGTGGATTGTCCCAGTGAGTGTATGGTCTTAAGCATACATGCTCATTGCAACATTCAGAGCTTGGAAGGAAAGCTTTTACCCATGAAAACTGAATCAGAATATTTAATGAAATATAATTTTTTTGGTTTTTTTAACTTTGTAACAAACAGAGGGTGAAGAGGCAGGTGAAGGTGATACTGACGAAGGTGGAGGAATGACAGCAGGAGAAGCTCCTGAGGAAACACACCCTAAAGTGGATCCACGCTGGCCAACCAGAGTGTTTGCAACTGGATGTATCAAGAAAATTATTGTTGTCTGTCAATCAAAACAGGGTCATTTTGATTTGGCAGTAGCACGCACATTGCGAGAGGAGACTGGAGAGGGTGAGATAATTTTAGAATAAACAATGAACCCTCTGATAAGTCCTTCCTCTCAACAAGCCGCATTGTTTGATAATTCCTTGGTCTACCCCCCTGACCTCCCCTAGACTACCCCTCACAATTTCCCTGGTCTAACCTCCTCTACCCTCTCCTCTACTCCTCAGTCTATTTTCTCACCCCCCTCAACTACCTAAGTCTACCCCCGACCTCCCTCAATTCATAACCCTGACTTTCCTTAGTCTGTTGATGAGAATCCATCCCCAGAGGCTTGGAGTGTTTACAGCCTTCAGAGCGCAGTTTAGTTGAACATTCATGGATTCAATAGTGGATGAATATCTTTGTGATCAAGTTTCTTGTGTGATCACAGATAAAGTGGTATGTTAAATTTTGTAATTTCAGTTATAACCATGTGTTTACTTCTAAAAACATCAAGGAGGCTTCTGACGTTTTTTAATGACAGGATGACCTTGGACTTAATTTGGTTTTCTTTGGTAGATTTTCTTGTTATGCATCTTCAAGAGCTTGTCAGAATGGTGTTCATTGCAGCCACAGCAACATGTGATCATTTGAAGCTGGAGGGATTAAGCACTTTACAGGTACAGTAGCTTACTATTTGCAGATACTAAAAATTTCCCTTGTCATAAATGTTTAGGAGTCAGTCACTTTTCTTAGTAATCAGGTAATTGTAACATCCATAAGAAATTATGTTTGAAAAAAAAAACAGACAAACAAACAAAACAATTGAATGAAAATTTGACACAGTTTTAAAATTTTTTTTATTCAGTCTGTATCAGTGTTTTTTTTTCATTTTCATTTAGGATGTTGTCAACATGTTTGCATCAGTACCTGATCCTGATTATCCAGGGCATGTTATTCTGGAACAGTTTCAGGCTCAGGTAAGAAATGGCAATTCACTGTAGAAATTAAAGAAGGTTGCAGTGTTACACTTACACAAACAGTCAAAAGTATACTTTATTTAATTAGTAATGAGGAATAATGTTTTGTCAAAATATTTGTAACAATTCTGACACTGTTTGTGACTATAGTAAGACAATGATGTAGACCTACTTCTCAAATATAAAAATTTGCCATAAATAGGTTGGGGCTGCTCTGCGACCAGCATTTGCTTCAGACATGCCCTCTGATGTCACAGCCATGGCATGCGAGGTAAGAAGTGACACTTAATCTTGTGATATGGGTCCTAAGCTCCATATGCTCTCCTGTCACCTGCTATGCCAAATTAATTCCCTCCCTACCCCACAAGCCCAACAGAGAATACCTTGGTATGTCACTGATTTGAAACCTTTTTCAGAGTTGGAACCTGTGAAGTCTATGGTATAAGAAATATATTTTCATTAATTGTGTTGTTGTTTTGTAAAATGACTCTGTGTTGTCAAAACTTTCATTTATGTGATAAGCAAGTCACAAAAACACTTACAAATGATTACAGGTTGTGTCAGACTATACTTGGTCTAATTGGCATCACAGCAGATGTATTGACCATATATAATATTGCTTTATTCTCAGGTTTGTAGTGCATGGATTGCCAGTGGTATCGCAAGAGATCTTAATGATGTACGGAGGATTCAGCAACTGTTAGTCACCAAGCTGTCAAAAGTTGGGGAGGCCAAAGATTCTTCTTTACAGCTGTACAATGAAGCAGCTACTACAATGGAGAAACTAGCAGTTTTGAAAGCTTGGGCTGAGGTACTGATAGTTTATAACATCAGTGATAGTAAAGCAAGTCCACTGGTATTCTGCTGAAAATTTGGAACCTCCCTTGATATTCTCTTAATGTGGATGATATTTTCGTCAAAATTTTTGTGGAAGCCTTAATTGTTCCATTAACAGCATGTTGAAATATTTACTTTATGTAAAACAGCCTGATTAGTCAATTTTTCAGTTCCCAAATTTCAATTGCTACATGTTGCTCAGTTGGCTTCTAATACATGAGACAAATTATTTTAATTTACAACTCTGCCTCATATATGTATGTTCATTTATGTCATCTTTCTGCCTTAACAACTCTTGAGGGAAGATTTAGGGGGAAGATGCCTCTTAATGATAAATTTCAAAGACATTTATCACTGATGAATCTGAGTTTTTTTTTTCCAATGAATTCCTACAGGTGTATATAGTTGCCATGAAGCAGCAGGACAGTCCATCACCAGTGAATGCTGGAGATGAAGAGTTTTCTGAACAAGCTGGGAGCCTCTTGGAGCTGGTAGAACCTGAGTTGAAATCTCTCAGTAAATACTGGCTTGGTGCACTGAGAGATCATGCACTTCTTTCTCTACCTGCAGAGTATGCATCTCAGTTGCCTCCTCATGGTGGAATGTTCTACAGGTTTGAGATGTTGTTTCTGTAGCTGTTGTACTCTACAAACAAATGTTTGGTCCACAATGATGTTTTCTATTCACTCATTGTGGAACATCAATGTCTACAATTGACTCCATGGGTGTCAATACCTCTTTTCTTGACCCTGTAACCCAAGATCTGATTGCTTATCTCCCCTCCAGCTGCTACTCATTTCCTTTTAAATTAGTGATGAGAATTAGGTGTTAGATCAAGACAGCAACTTTAACTGTACAAATCTGTATGCAAGCAGCTTTCCTTGCACCCCTGTCACATCAGTTCTTTTCTTTCTCAGGATCGGTGTTTTGAATCATATTGTTTTTTGCAACCCTTTTTGTTTTTTAGTCCTGACTCAATGGAGCAAGCCAAGCCACATTACCAAAGTTGTTGGCCTTCCATTGTTCATGCAGCCTCCTTGTGGCTGAACAATGGTGGATTTGAAAGCACTAAGCGTGATATGGAGCAAGGTAAGAGCACTAAATATGTCCCCATTCTAATGAACGCTGCCTGGCTATAATAATATTGACACAGCCATATCTATCAGCAATGCAGTCCCTAACTGGAGACAATATTCATTTAGAATGATTTGATGTTAATGTGACAACTTTTAGAGTGAAATTTAACACAGGATTCAGATCTCAAAGACACAAACCATTTGGTCATAACTTATTAAAGAATAAATAAACCGATAGAGAAATAAGCAAATGGTCTATGAATTGTGTAAAAAACTGAATATGTAATCTCCCATCTACAAAATTTATCAGTGCCTTATTGGTTCACATAATCCCACATTATGTAATTAGTCACCACCTTGAAAAACTAATTACTTTGGAGCTAAATTGTAGTGCTAATGACTGTTACATGAACGAAAAAAAAATTTAGGTTTTCTTATTATTATTATTATTATTATTATTATTATTATTATTGTAATCATTATTATTATTATTATTATTATCATTATTTTTTTTTTTAATTAGGAATACCAACTGAGCCTCTAAACACAAGCTCTGTTGATATGGTGACACCTGCTAAGACACCAACAGATATCAATGCAGACTACTTTCATTTACTGGTTGGAATTTGCATGGAATCCTTGTGTTCATCCAGAGCAACACAACCCAACAGTACTGTGTCTGCTTGTCTAAATGCATTCTACAGCTTACTGGATTCTAAGTGGCCACGCACTCTCATAGGAAATGAACAAGTAATATCTTGAATCTATCTTCCACATGTCAAAGGGAACCATAGTACTTAACTATACTATGTGGGGGTTTTCAAACTAAGGCAATGTTTCAGAAAGTATCCTTACCTCTTCCCTCATGCACCTTCTCATTTAACTCCACTCTCCTAACCCCAAGTTAATTCTGTTTACCTTTATTGCCTAACTTCACAGCCCTCCCCTCTCCCTCCCCCCCCCCCCCCACGCCCTCTTTGGAATTTCTAGTTGGCATGAGTTATTGAACAACATAATGATTTGAAATCATATCACTAGTATTTTTTCTGGTGACATTTCAAATTATTCCTGAACTGACAATTTTGTTTGAATTAGATGATAGTTTGAATTTGTTTTCCTCATCATTTCTTTTCTCTCCCCCAATTAAACCAAGCATATTTATTAATCTTGATTTTCTTCTTCAGATCCTTGGTGTTGAAATGTTAAGTGTGTTACACAGAGTACTGCTCACAAGGGACTCTCGTGATATCCACTTGGCTGCCATGAGAGTTGCCAGACAGATTGTTAAAGCTGCTCAAGAATCATTAGAAGGAAAAAAGGCTGCAGCTGCAAAGTAATATTAACTAGTCAAGAGTGGTTACCCCAAAGTTAAATCGAAATAATATGTTCATAAAATCAAACAGAATTAATATTATTTACAGTTCATTTTGTTGCTTGTGATAAGTATTAGTAGGGTCAATCACTTTCACATTTGTAAAGCAAAGGTTACATTTTTATATGTTGAAATTTAAAACACACAAAATGTCGTGTGATACATTGTTAGTGAATCAAGTGCCAAAGGATAATTTTTAAAAGAGCCATTGACCCCACAGAAAAAAAAATTGCTTAATGAAAATGGAAAAAAAAAAGAGAAAAATAAACAGGAGGGGTGAACAATTGCTAAATTCTGACCCAATGCTAAGATTGAAAAACATTTAGACTGGACACTGAGCAAGCCTCTGAGGGGAAAATGGTTCAACTGTATGGTCCAGTATTCAGTTTGTAAGAGAAAAACTTTACTTTAGGGCATCATCCCCAATAGATCTCATTTTTTGTAGTTACACGTCAAAATATTGAGATTTGAAGTACAGAGGTAAATGGTATTGAGTTAGTAAGAGAAATGTACTAATTGATGTGGTCACTTTTTTTCCCTCCTCAGTTCTGAGAGCAGCTCAAGTATAGATGCAGAGGGAGAGGATGACTTAACGCCTGGAAGATCCTTAGTGTTTGGTGTGATGGAGATTTGTATGTGCATCCTCACAAAACAGCTTCCAAACCTTCTCCCTTCATCTGCCGCATCCAGCCAGCAGCCAGTTATGTTGGTGTCTATTGGCTCAGGGTTTAGATGTGAGTTTTCTCAAGAAAGCATTGATATTGATGATAAATATTCATTCATTTGTTATAAACCGTGGACAGAGAAAGATCTGAATTCTTAAGCAGGTGAACTATCAGCAAGTGTGGGTCATAGTCTATAATTACAGTCAAAAATGTGACAAACTTTACCACTTTTTCTTCAATCTGTTTTCTCTTCTCCCCCCAACCGCTTGTCCCTATGCATCCTAGATTAAACTGATAATGCCCAGGATCTGATTGCATGAAATTACACATGTGCATGGGCAAAAGACTGTGGCCTTTATATGTCTACCATTACTTTACAAAGGAGATTCAAATTTTTCAAATGTATAATCCTAGTCTATGAATACAAAGTAAATGAATCATGTATTGCTTTGCTTTTAGCATTAACAGAGGAGAGCTCCAAACTTATATCTGAAGCACTTTCAATCCTCCCATGTGTCCCTGGCCTTTGTACACCAGAGGCTTCTGTTAATGTTCTACCAAGTGTACTTTACCTTTTGACCTGTGCCCTGCGTGAGGTGGCCTCAATCCAAGACTCCACCTCACAGAAAACAGTTTCAGCTGCACTACAGGCTTTAAAACAGCTTACCACATCTGCATTCACACAGCACCCTAAATGTTCCAAGGACTGGATTGACTTGCTTCAAAGGTTTAAATTATTTATTTGCAGACTTGAGGAAGGACAGATTCTAGTTTTCTTGTTTTGTTAGCCACCAGTTTTCAGCTCTGTATGTTTTGTTTCAATCTTTTTTGTTACACCCCATTTTTCTTCAATTGTTACAAACCAGAGCTGTTATAGATCTCTATTTCTTTCCAAGATCCAATTAGTATTTCTCCCTTCTGACTACCATGCACTTACTTGTAAATTAGACAGGAGAATTTGGTGTTATATCAAGATAACATCTTAGGCTGATAAGCTTGTTTGCTCTCATTACGGTTTTGCAAAGTAATGTATTGAAATCACACGGAGAAGTGTCATGTATATCACTTCTGAAGTTAAAGGGTAACCTGAGAGAACAAACTTGATATGGGAAACAAAACATGTCGGTAGATTCTTCAGCAGCCTTGGCAATGGTATTCATTGTATCGTTGATGACATATTTGAATCTTCTTTAATTTTGTTTCTTTTGATCACAGTGCTTTAGCCACAGTTTTGTCAGATTCCAAAGCTAATGAGGAGTTTGCAGCTTTTGGTGCAGTATCAGAATCACCTGCGATGGATGACTCTGTGGTGATGCTTGCATTGGCCATCTTCATTCTCTCAGCACCAAAAGAAGTGGTGTTGGCATCAGACTTACAGCAACAGTGTATTAAATTATTTACCAGGTGCCTTAAATCAACAATGCAGGTGTGTTGTGTTGCTCCTTATTTAAGTGGTGTAAAGTTAATGTCAGCAATGTGCCTTCTGCTCTAGAATATTGATAACAGTTCTATCATTGCTATTGTCATCATCTTAAAGCACCAATCAATCCAAAACCCTGACTGTCTTCTGTGGCTGAGGAAGGGGGGGGGGGTGGGGAATTTGAATGTTGCCTGGCTGAAAGTGACAAGTCTTTCCAGCAGAAGACAACTATTACATCTTAAACTGTGGAGGTGTTTTAGGAAAAAAATTTCACTTCTGTGATCAAATGGTTAAGAAGAAAAGGGTTAAAATGTCTACTGGTCGATGTGTTGAAAGTCATGGTCATCTTACAAAAAAAATGGGTGGGGCATTTTGGGTGGGGCACCAATCTTCAAAACTTCAGGGGTTTGCTCCAGGGGGGTGGTGAGAAAGGTTGAAGCTTTGAATTGATTGACACTTAAATATCATCTTTATACCTTTTGTTGAGAGAGTAACAACATATGGAAGTTTGAAACTGAAAATAAATTTACAATAAATAAAAATTGAACTTTCTTTGATGATATCTTTCCCCTTTAATTCAGATTCAGCTCAAGGCTCTACAGACATTGGAGTCTGTCTTCCAGTGTAGAGAGCGTAGTGTTGCCTATCCTTTCATCAATGCTTTAGCTCCTCACATTGTGATGATTTTGAATGACATGTGTGTTAACAAGCCAAGCAGCGAGGAACAGGTGACAATCACTTTAGCTGCCATCAAGATCCTGGAGAATTTGGTGGAACGGACAGATGACCATTTAAGTAAGAACCTCAGGCCTTTATTTCAACTTTACATACGCCCTCAAAGGGATTTCTTGCATCACATTGAGTCAAGTCATTTTAAATGCTTAGAGAATTCTTTTAGCAGTGAATTCATACTTCTAGTAATTGCTTAGGAAACTCATTTCTTCTTGAGGTCTATGTTCTTGTGCTCATTGGGCATCACACATTCCCTGCTTTCATGCACTGAATTCTGTTTTGGAATCCATAAGTGAATTTTCACAGGAAGGAAGCAATCTTCACATACCAAAGAGAATAGATTGGTAAACCTATAACTGATCTGAAGTTATTTATAGGATTGAGAGCATTTGTGGAACTTATACTGGCTTACAACATTCTGTTTTCATTTTGTGTTTGTTTCAGAGGTGCATATGCTAGGATTGCTTGTACCAATCCTTATATCATTGCTGTCAGACAGTGCTAACCTCCCAAAAGGAGGGAAGATAACCAGGAACCTCCATGATCAGGCTCTGCAGAAACTTATGAAAATTGGACCCAAATACCCTGGGCCTTTCCGTAGCATCATGAGTTCACAGCCTGAACTAAAGTCACGTTTAGAAAGTGCAGTCAGAGCTAATCAGGCATCAGCCAAACCAAAGCAACCAGCTGTCCAGGCCAAAGTGGCACCAGCACAGCCATCCATCAAGCTACGTATGGACTTCAGTAACTTCAAATAGCTGGCTTGTTCTTACTATGATTATCAGTTGAGTGAGGCATGGAAAAAGTTTTGTGCTGGGAGTTTGACTATAAAATAACAATGTTACCAATAAATGACTGTGAATATGTGAAAGTCATATATTTGAACTACGGATAAAGGCATGAATATGAAAGAGATCTTCGCAGTAATGAACACTTCTTGCACAGTAGTGAAAATAAGGCCTGAAAAAAATAATTCAGGCCTGTACAGGATCCCAGGATTCGGGATTCACTGCTCAAGTAGTGTTCATTACTGCGAAGATCTCTTTCATATTCAGTGTTACCAATGGCAACAAAATCTCAAGAGCTGTGTCTCCAAACGTCAAATGTGAAAGCCCATCATGTCAAATGAAATCCCATCACTGGAAAAGGAGCTGGCCTATGACAGTTACTCAATTTTAAATAACAAAATGTGCTTCTTAAGCTTCCATTACACCTCACTCAATTAAAATTGTAGTATGTGCTGCTGTATCAAGCTTACTGAATGACAATTGATCAATAGTTCAGCTATAACAAATCAAATACAATCATTTAATTTTATTTTGTACAAAGATTTTAGAGATATGATATAACCATAAACAACTGCAATTTTAGTTCACGCATAAGTAAAATTTGAGTTCTAACATGAAACTTACACACTCAAGAAGCCCTGTGAACTAATTGACATGTTGTAACTAAAGAATCTTGGCAACAGATGGATCCTCTTTGTTTACATTCAAATTAAAAAATCTTATGATTGTCTAGAGTGCTTTGACATCAAACAGCTAAATTGAACTTAAATCAACACACTGGACATAGGAAAGCTGAAAATAAAACTTTTATGACCAAAAGGGTTCAGTTACATTTAATTTCTTTCAGTGCTTATTCTTCACTACCCTCCTCTTCTTCTCTCCTTTGTTCTCTGTACTTATTTAACATGTCCACATGTTGTTTGATTGCTTCTTTCTCTTTTTGTTTGATGTACCTGCATACCTCCCTAAATATCAGAAGACGAGTCAAAACATTTTAAGGGAAAATACTTTAACCGTCTTGAGTAACAATGGCTATATATCATATGAAGTTTTTTTCAACCCAACAACAAATCTCAAGCGGGAGAATGTTCATAATCATCCTCTATGTGTGTAACAAGATAATGGTTGAACCTGCCCCTTCCTCCATGATCTACGCAAGTTTGCGGGTTAGGATCGCCACAATAAATTTTTAAATCATTATAAAAATTTGAAGTGCTTGACTCTGTGAAAGTATGACAATAAGCACATTACCAGCTTCCAAAAGAGATCAAGGCAAAGCCACCAACTGCAAATCGACAGGACTTGAAAACGTGCACTGCAATTACAACAAATCAACACCAGGCAATAGAGATTTTCACAATCATTCCTTATGGGAGACTAGCCAAATTTTATTAAAAAATATGAAGCTATCAATAAAATATTGGGTCAACTCACTTGTCTTCATAAAGCAACCAAAACCAGCTATCATGCCAGCACCGATACCATACAAGAGTGACTCCCGAGCACAAGGCGTGCGCTCGATAAATTTTTTAAAATTCCAATTGTACTGAAAACAGGAACAACATAGGATAATTAACTAATAAACCATAAACATTTTTTTTTTGTCAAGCAACGCATTTCTCGTCAAATTGTGACGTATACAAACCTTTTTAGTAGTAGCGGAGTCAAACACATCATCCGCCATTTTGTTTGTTATGCAATAAATCGGTCAGCAGTCGATATCATGAGTAAATAATTTGTAGTGGTTGACAGCCTCGAAGGATGTTTTTCAAGATGCTTCCAGATGTTTGACAATAGTACTGTACAGTAAAGAAATTCCCTTAATCGTGCCGGCAAGCCGTAGATCTAATACAAAAATGTCCGGCTACCCGGTAGTGATAAACGTCTACGACATGGTGGGTAAAGTCAGATTATTATCACTGAGAGATCAAGTTGAAAATATTTCGTGAGAGGAAACAGATGTGATAGAAGTCATTAAGCATCTTCCGACAGTGTTTAAGAAGAAGAATTTTATAGTTCTTATTGTTTCTTCTTTGTAGTACTGGATAAACCAATACACTTTCCCTGTTGGTCTTGGTGTGTTCCATTCAGGAGTAGTTGTACACGGGAAAGGTAATAACTCTTGGCTTAATTGAATTGAGAAGCTAGTATAACAAAAGTCTCCTTAAAAATTCGTAGTTTAGCTACTCTTCGTTTTTTCCTTGTTTTTTTTTGTCATTATTGATATTATTTCACTGAGTCCTAGACAATAAAATGAAAAAGCGCGTATAGAATAAATTAATATCAAAAACTGAGACATTTACTCACGGATCTCAGTGCTTGTAAGATTTACGACAGGTAATTAGAAGTTTCAAGAATTACGATTGTTAATTTAATTTATATATTTATTTATTTACTCGTTTGCTTAGTTATCTTTTTAATCTATATTTCATAATATTTAATTTCTCTCACGTAATAATGACTCATATCGCTATGCCATTTGTTTTCTCACAACGAATATCTTTAAATGTTATCCTCAGGCCATATAGTATTGTTTGACATTCTTTGCATGCAATTCATTAGTTCAACTAAGGCACACTTTCTTATACATTTTCGTAAGGTATACACGAAAAGAAACACTACCCTTGATGTTGTTATGTTGGCAGTCATATCGTGTGCAGTAACATGCTGTTAGAAAAAAAAATGTATAAAATGTGATGGACAATGGTGTATAATTGTTTTACTGATCCTTTCCGTCTTACCAAAGGAAAATAAAATGCAATTAAAGTTAAAGAACTTCAGTAAGTTGGTGATCAGAAAGGCATGCAGAAGTGATTAACATAATAATTCTCCCTATAATATCTTCTAACTATCCAGCAAACAGGTAATGAGAATACTCAAACTTATCAAGTAGAAGTTATCTTGATCTAACTCCAAATTCTTGTAACCAATTTGCAAAGAAATATGTAGCAGCCAGAAGGGAGAATAAACAATCAGTTCTTGGGAGTTAAATAGCAGTGTTTACTAATAGCAAAAAGTCCATTATTGTTTTGTTTATCTTTTATAGATAACAACGAAATTACCTATCCTGTATCTTTTGTCAATTTATTCTCTTCTTCTAGAATATGCATTTGGAGGACACCCTTACAACTTTTCAGGAATATTTGAAATGAATCCCAACTCACCTGAAGTTTTAGGAGAGGAATTTAAGTTCAGGTTAGTGTTTCCAATGCCCATTGAATGCATCTTTTAGTTTTAATAGACGACCATGCCCTCAACCACGCTCTGAAAACCCAGTAAAATAGTTATATTAACATTCTTCTGTTTTCAGTATATTATATTTAGCAGAATTAGACATGCATTTTTATCAGTTCTTACTTATGGTCTATTGGAGGAGAGATATACAGATGACCTCACCATTAACAACTTGCTGCTTCTTTAATATATAAAACAAATAGATCAGAGAAGAAGGCAAATGTGGTAAGAACATCAGAGGCACAATCAGCCAGGCCTTGTGGACCACTTTTTTATTCTTACCACATTTTTATGTCATCTGTGAACTATTACTCAACAGACACACAGTAACATGGAATCTGTTTGTTAACCCTTCAACTCCCAAAAGTGATTAGCATGTAACTTCTCCCTGTAATATCCATACATTAACCTGCACACAGGTAAAAAGAATACTCAAACTAATTAGGTGGAAGTTGGTATCTTGATCCAATGCCAAATTCTCATTACTAATTTACAAGGAAATGAGTTGCAGCTAGAGGGGAGAATTAACAATCAGATCTTGGGACTTAAAGGGTCAATTGTTTTCTCAGCTAACTTTTCCCTCTTCTGGTTCACATAAACATATATTGAGTAATTCTTTACCTATTTACTCTTTTATTCAAGGGAAACTATAAAAATTGGAACAACAAAACTTTTACCAAGTGAAGTAGAGGCTCTCTTGAAAAGAATGGGAAACACATACCAAGGACGTTCGTACCATCTCATAGACAAGTATGAAGAGGCTGTTTTCTTCCAGTGGTTGACTACAGTTTTGAAAGAATTTGTTTGGAGATAAGAATTTAATGCAGTGTAACTTGCTAAAGTTAATTTTTGGTTTCTGTTGTTGAAACAGTAACTGAACTTTTACTTAAAATAAATAAGATTTTAATCAGAAATGAAGTTCTTTTTAATTGATATTCTTTATTGTCTTTTAATTATGATTATGGTTGATTTCTGTTCCAGAAATTGTAATCATTTTACTTCAGAATTTTGTCAGGTGAGAAAAGTCACTTTATCAAAGTATGACAAAAATAGTATTTCTGGTAGTACATTGTGTCCTTACAACCAGACTGCTTTCTTAGTCAATGCTGAAAGTAAACTGCTGTGAAGATTATCAACTTGATGTGGGTCGATCATAAGTAACAGACTGTGAAGTGTCACAAATTTTTACATTTCAGCTTTGCCTTATCCAGTCAATAAGCAAGATATCATGTATGACTGCTGCCCTTTCTCTCTCTTTCCGTCTTGCATTTAGAATCTTTCTGGGTGGTACACATGGCTATATATGACATTCCGCCAGGGAATTTTCTAGTAAAAATTTTCAGTAAAACAGTGGAACCACTCTAGGAGTCATGTTCATTAAATTTTGTGAAATATATCCTATGTGCTCAGCTTGTCATAATGTGTGATGTGGTGTTATTGATTACAGGCTTTGTGTAACAAATCAATTCCGGGTTGGGTGAACAGATTAGCATCTGTTGGTTCATATTTGCCGTTTCTCCTTAAATGTCTTCCAAAAGAGTGGATACGTCCTGAACCCTATTCTCCAGTTGGAAGCCCTGGCTATGAATCACGCCCTTTTGATGGTAACAATTTATTTTATTACACAACTCATTTTTCTTTCTTTTCCTTTTCTTAAAAGCTCATTTCACAATCTGCAAAATAATGGTTGTTCAATATGTATTGACATCAAAATGTGTCATGCTATAAATAATACTTCCCTCACATGTAGTTGTATCAACACCCTTCCTTCCAGATCAAATTTGTAATTCTCCTTACTGTCAACTATACAATTCTTATAATGTTAGTTCTGAGAATTTAGTGTTGGATCAACTTATTATCTCCAAATTTATATTTTTCTTTACTCTCATCACTTATCTGATTAATATTGTATTGATATTGTAAGGAGAAATAAGAACTGTCTTGGTCACTTATGGGAGTTTAAGGGTTAAGCTTTCAAACATTATGCAGTAACAAAAAAGGAACAATAATTTGTTGCAATTGGTAGGTGATGTACTTTTTTTTAAATTCAGCATCATTCCAGTGTTGAATAATGATATTATTTGATTTAGACAAGAAATTTATCAGTGAAACCCTATAAAACCAAGTGCGTAGTTTAGGATGGTTAAAAAGCTTAGAATACTGATTTGTCACATGCCATTTACTGTCAGAGTTACATATTATAATAAACAATTTTTTTCCCCCTAGATTTATCAACATTTGATGAAGATGGTCAACGCAAGTCCAAGCGTAGCTGACTAGTGGCACCACAAACATCCTAAAGGATTTTCTTACAAATACATCAGGAATTAAACTAGTTAGCTATTATTGTTCCTTATGACAGGAACCAGCAAAGGCTATGAGGGAAAGTAGTTCCAAACAAAACAAAGGAAAAATAGGCATGTCACACTCACATGTAACTGAATTAAAATAAAGTTAACAGTATTTCTTTCAAGACATTCATGTATTCAAACCTGAATTTCAAAACTGGTGACAATATTTGCTAGAACAGTAATGGTGATAATGTGGCTGAAACAAACCATTTCAGAAAAACACAATATAAATAGGAATTTCATTTCCTACAAATTTCTTTTGTTAGATGATGACTTCCTCTAGAAAGATATTTTTCAGGATATTTTCCACGTTTTTTTCTATTTTACTCATTTGTAATGAGGTTTTTCTTTTTTCTTCTTGTTATTTCCCCTTTTCCAAAGGACAAATGTCAGTTATTTCTTTGATCTTTGGAGAATTACTCTTAACAACAACATAAAACTTGGGTCAAATCATACTGTAAGTACAGTAATAATAGCTGGTAAAGCTTGATGGCCTCATTGTGAGTAGTCCTGAGGATGACTATTGTCTGTTGTAGTAATTGAATTTCTAGATAATGTTGTAGTAATTGAATTTCTAGATAATTTAAGGGGAAGTCATTATCATAGTCTATGTTTTTCATATTACAATGAAGTCCAGGTCAATATCGACTTATTGTACCTTTTGACAATAATAATTGGTCCTTTTTGTGACTTATCTTCTTTTATTTGAATGATTTTGTGTCTGAGTAAATTTCTCACAAAATCTTTGTTTTGTTTCTTTTTTTTTGTCATCATGATACGTAATGTGGCCATTTATGTGAAGTAAATTTTAAAATGATAAAGTCACATAGGGGACGGAGACAGCTCCTAGATGTACAATGATTATTTATTTCTGCTTTTTTAAAAATTGTCCATGCTTCATGGTTGGTTATTTAAGGGTGATGAATTCTAAATTCATAATAAATAATCAACAGGAAGAAACAAATAAATCCACATGAAAGTAATAGAGATATTCTGGTAGTGTCTGCTTTTCTATTAAGTTTCTCTTTCACTGACTCCAAAGATTCAATAGCCATCAACACTGCCAACCCTGAACCTTTTTATGTGGAATCCTGTGCACTAATCATTATGCCTTGAACCTTTTGATGTGGAATCCTATGCACTGATCATTATTCCTGGAACCTTTTGATTTGGAATCCTGTGCACTGATCATTAAGCCTTGAACCTTTTGATGTGGAATCCTGTGCACTGATCATTATGCCTTGAACCTTTTGATGTGGAATCCTATATACTGATCATCAGGCCTTGAACCTTTTGATGTGGAATCCTATATACTGATCATCAGGCCTTGAACCTTTTGATGTAGGATCCTGTGCACTGATCATTAGACCACCATGCCTCCCATGGGTAACTCATGGGTCAAGTTTTCATGTTCAGTATACAGCTGATAGATTTAAAAAGGTGAGACACTTACATGTCTTCACTGTCAAAGTACTGTTCTTCTTCATCTCTTCCTCGTATGGTCAGATCATCATACTCATCATTTGCATCAACTGAACTATAGTCAAACTCTTCTTCTTCACCTCTCATGAATTTGTCTTGCATTGCACTAAGAAATTCTTCATGGAGCATAAGTTTTTCTTCCTTAGAAGGGCATCCCTTGATTGGACTCCCAGGTTCCACTGTAAGAATTAAAGGTGTTTACAGAAGTGACTAGAGACTGACGACCATCATAACACAGCTGATTGTCTACAAGAAATTATAATCTGGCCCAGGTTGTTCAAATCTGGGTTAAGATAACCCATGGTTAGCAAAAGAAAATTCAGTTGAAATCTTTTTGCTTGCAATTTGATCATTGGATGTTCTAAAAAGAATAGGGAAAGTTTTCTCTAAAAGACTTTGGAAAAAAGAAATATAGAAACCTGCATTAAAATTTAATCCTGTGCTAGCACTAATCGGCCTTTGAACAACTGGGCCCTGATGAAGACTTTTGCTCAAGTTGTCAAAACATTAGTCACAATTGGACAATCATTTTTTCAGCATAACTCTCACCCAGAGAGCTACACAACATAGTTAAATAAAATTTTTGTTGGTGTGCTGTGAGAATTTCATGCTATATCCAAACAATTTCCTCAACCTAACCCTTTATTCCTAAGAACTAAACATCAATTCTCTATGTTGTTTCCCATACACTTCCTATGATCTAATATCTAAGATTTTGGTGTGGAATCAAAGGACATCTCCTAACTGAAGTGAACCCTGTATGCAGGTGAATGGAACATTCCATTTCTTTTAACCACCCCCCTCCCCCCTCCACACACACCTGAAGAAGGCCAGATTCTGATACCCAAAATTTTTGTTGTCATCACTTTTATTATTAATTTTTTAATCTGAAGGGTTCAAAATTATGTTGGTTTACTTGAAAAAATATTTAAACAGGCCCTATGCCACACCTCTTCAATGTTGGGTGTATATTACAATGGAGAAGGTGACTAAATTAAATAATCACCTTTATCGATTGAGCTGTCACTCTCCATATCTGATTCTTCCTCTTCTTCTTCTAGACAAGCCTCTTGATCTCTCTGATAATTGAGATACCAATCGTTCATTTCCTTCTCTTGTCTATTCATGATCATTTGTGACAGGCACAGATCGTCTCCAGTTTCAGCTCTGTCCCGGTCAAGTTTTTCCTCTGCAGTAAGATACTGACCTATATACTGTTCGTAAAGAAGAGGAGACCTTTTTCTCATCTGCTCTTCGCTGAAGAAATCCGTGTCTTTCATTAATCGCTGTAAACATTCATATCGTCTGTTACGTATCCCTGTTTTCTTCTTCTTACCATCAAGGATATTTTTTACTTCTTTAAGACGAAAATCTATCTCATATTCTCCCATTAAATGTTCGAAATTTCCTAGGTCTTTTTCGGAAAGATATCTTCCAAATCGCATAAGAAAAGAAGCTGGTTTTTTATCGTAAAGCTCGTGTAAAATAGCAATTTTCTCATCCACAGCTAATTCTGGTTCGCCTCTCTGCTGACTTTTTACAACAGCATCAGTGCTTGCAATGCGAGAAAGCATGTGTTTCACGTTTTGCTCGTGTGTATCTGTGATGTTTTCTTCTTGAGCACATGCCGCCATATTGTTTTGACTCCAGGCCTCGCTCGTTCATAGAATCCCGCAGTGTTTGACAGGTTAGACAGGAAGTCAACCGAAACGAAACCGAAACGCGGGAAATTTTCATTGATCAATAAATAATATCGTTTTCTGTCACATGATACACACGGGATCGTGGCGTAACCGGTATAAACACAAATTGAAACTGGAATTCCATGGAATTTGGCTCGGAATTCTTGTCCTTCAAGGTCATCAAACGGACCGAAGAGAATTCAGAATAGGTCAGGGAAGAATCAAAGGGCGGGTATTCAGCCAAACGATCGGACTTTAGGTCCGATTTAAGCTTAGTAAAAGTTTCACATGCGAATTAGGCTCACTACGTATAAATAAACGATCGTACATTCATCTTCAACATGTCAACTTATACTTTATTATATTCATCGAAACGATATGACTTCCTTTGGACAAAAATTTTAACGATATGTACAAAATTTACAACATAATTCAAAAATTCAAATAGTTTGCATCGAATTTTATATTTTAAATTTAGAACTATCATAAGGAATCGAAGAAAAAAATCAATATTCAGCCTTTGGTGGGCACCACCTACGTACAACGTCTCTCTCCTGAAAGAGTTCGTATTCAAAATAACTACGCTCTCTAGCTACATGACAATGTTCTAAAATCTACATAAAATCATCGACTTTTCAACGGACACCAAAAATATATTTTAACATTTAAATAAAAAAAAACAATCACTCCAGAAAGAGCGCGTCCATATTCAATAATTCCTTTAGTAACGACATGTTTACAACATTTACACTTCTTCGATCCTTTCAAAAAACGAACAACTTTGAAAATTTATACATAGACTATGTTAACTTCTTAACTAAACCAAATATACGATTTAAGAGTTCTAGTAATATCAAAGTCTTTTGCCAGCGAAGGCGATCAACATCGCACGGTCTATCGATTCGTCAAATGCTTCTGTCCTTTCACATTTGTAAAATCGAAACGTAAACAATGGAGCGCTTTCACAGCTGAGGTAGTTCGTCACGAACTTTATCTTCCCGCAAAGCGAAAAGCTTGGAGCCACATCCTGTCTTTCTCACTCAGTGTTGAGAACGTAGATGTACCAGAAAAGTTCGAAGCTCCTGAGATGGTCCTCGTTCGTTTCCTCCCTTTGGCTGGCCTTTGCCATGTGCTTGGCTCTTCAACGGACATACTGTCGATAGAGTCGATCGATTCTCGACTAGATGTTTGATAATCTGTACAAGAACAACTCCTTCCATTCCTCTGGCATCTCATCTTCTTTTTCCGGATCACAATTGGAAAACAGCCTCCGATAAGGAAGAGAAAAGCGACCAGAATTTTACCAAGAAGAGACATCTCTTACGTCTAGAATTAATGCGTGGACGACTGAATTGCTAATGAATTCGTCTGCCTATTTGAATGGTAACTATACCGACCTTTGTACCAAAACAATAAGAATGCGACGCCATGACGTCATAACAAAATTACTTCTATGTAGGGTACAGTAAGTATCATTCTGACAAAAAGAAAATTGACGAGTCGCACGATTAAAATACCAAAAATGAACATTGCCTTATTCGTGAATACCTTAATACCAAGTTGTTTTTGATGTATGGAATCTTTGATTTTTTTTTATAATGGCAATTTTCCTGCCTTGAAATAAAACCCTCGCTACACCTCCCCCGGTATGAAAATTTTTTTTACGCTAAATTTAACACTTTCCTTCGCGGGAACTCCGTGACAGTCTTGTGACAAGAGGTACACATGTCGTGCTATTATTCCCGGCCTGTCATGTGCGTGGATTACTCGCTTACACAGCAAAAACAAAATTTACAGGAGGTTACCTGAAAATGTCGAGCGAAGGGCATGAACTTGCGATTTTTTGAGCAATAGTTTGATTAATGGGTGAAAATGTGCTCAGGTTCAGCTCTTTTTTTTTCTTTTTTTTTTTTTTTTTCCAGTTTAATTCGCATTCTTTCCATTCCAAGACTGCATCCTATTTGCCTCTGATCTATAGAGTTACAATGCCTCGGCGGCTGCTGAAGGAATACCCTAAAAATATCTATTATGGTTGTTTTGATACCAGCGTTCTCCCAGGGTATTCCCGTGACTCGCAGAGTTCTGTCATAGAGTAGGCGATAAATTTAAAATTCGGGTGATGTAAAAATCAAGTGAAATTACACTTGCATTATTTGGGATGTTGTTTACCGACACGTCCTGGCGTGTAAGCCAAGCTTAGATTTCACTTCCTCGTATTTTCCTGTTTTTAGCTCCGATCACTTGATTGAAAAATATGATGTACATTAAAGTGTTGATTTCACATGTATTTATTTCGATCTCTCGTTCGACCTCTTATTCCAACGATTCTAACATTTTTCCCATCGAAATCAATACAATAATATGCCGAATGCTTGTCTACGAGACAAGACTGAAACGTATACGTTACAGAAGGCACAAAGCCAGTATTATTTGAGAGATGAAGTTCCACAAGACGACGATTGAATAAAAAATTGAATTGGAGAAATGGGCTAAACTTGCTCTAATCAACTTCATCTTTACTCTCTTCTGTTTGATTATACATGTTTCTTTTTATCACAAATATGCTCTGCATTAGCTTGCGTGCATGTTAATGTAGAATGAAACGGGAAGAGGATTGAATTACGACTGGGTTTTGAGACGCACTAAAGACAGGGTTAAGGAAGGTCATGGAGTGAAAATATTTTTCGAAGGGTTGTGTTGCAGAACAGAAATATGCAACCGAAACTAATACTCTCTTATTTCCCGTGAATCCGAACAGCATACCACAATACTCACCTTCCATTTATTGTCACGCGTCACGCAAGTAGTTCTCTATCACAAGAGGACACATCACATAGCGACACCGAACAACTGCCGCGCAAGAGACCAGCCACCAGTAAGCTACATACTTTAATTATGTTTTAAACAAATATTTTGGCACTTTTTCCTTGACGCTGATATCTGTGCGGAAACAAGCCAAAAAAGCAAGAGCTGAGAGAAACTCACACTATCCCAAACTCTGTAAAAAAAATTGAAAAAGTTATTATAAAATGGAACATCAAGAGAAATTGAAGATTTGCGTCACTACCGCGTTCCAGTCATGCGCATCAAGAATGCACGATACAATCATGAGGAGGCTAACAGGAAAGTATGGCGGCGAGCACGCGCAGTGAATAGCCATTTATGTGTCATCAAAGGCACACTCAGCGGGCAAAAGTACACCCGTACCCTATCTACCATAAAATTGAACTAACAATAGCCTTCCCGTAAGATATTAGTAGTAGGAAAAATTTACCAGAGACAAAGCGGACTTTCAAGAGTAAAAAGATTGCAAAAGCTTTTAGATGGCTACAGACGATCGTCAAATATCCACGGGTCCAAGTGCCAATTCGAGCAGACTGGAAAATGAAGAACCTAACGTTCTACCCGCTCTGAGAGGCACAGAAAGTAATAATAATCTTAGGAGAGGGAGTCTGCCATTTGGCATCTTTAGCCTGAATCAAGTTGACACAACAAACACTGCACCTCGAAGCTTTAGTGTCAATGGCACCCGGGCCCGGGACACGCCCATCACCTTGGGCCTCTGCAGGGAAAATAAATCAGCTTTCGAAGATTTACCTGTCTTTCTAGGGAAGATTGGTCAAAATAAGGAAAATAGGTGAGCAAAGTTATGCAAATGGAAGTCGATATCATCTGTAACGGAAAAGTTGTAAACAAAATGGTTCAGAGACGAGTCGACTGGAACAGAATGATTGTATAGGCTTCAACGACGAGGAAACTGCTGATAACATTTTATAGACATAGCTTCACTCAGAACAACTATTATAGGCTAAACTTCATTGAGTTTAATTACCCCTTTAGAAAAAACGGATAAAAAATTTGACTGATTTGATTTCATGGATTTCATGGATTTGACTCCCCACCTTCATCTTCTACCGAAGATGAAGGTGGGGAGGAAATAATTCCTATATTTCATGTTGGTTTAACATTCTATTCTAACTCTTGAGCATAAATTACTCTATAACCTTTCCTTTCGAGTTCAATATTCTCTCCTTCCATAACTTTTTTCCATAGTGAGGGAGAATCTTCACGACGCCCGAACGATGCGAATCTCAGTATTACCGAGTACGCACGCGAAAAAATAAAAAATGGAGTTGATTCGTCGTCGACCAGGGACAGAAATGTATGGTAAATTTTCAATGCTTGTAGAAATAAGACGTATAATAATTACTGGACGAGGTTTGATGGTACAAAGAAAGGAGTGCTCTGTCTCAGTTGAAGGGGTTATGGCAGAAATCAAATGCTTTCGTTCTTAATTAAATAATCTCTTCTGTTAAAATCTCAAATGGACACACGGTAACTCGGTTGTCCTCAGCTGTATACATAATTGAGTTCTCTTATTCTGTACCAGTTCGGTTCAAATAGCTATTCACGAAAAACCTTTCAGATACTTTTGACGGGAACACTCTTCCAGACAAGGACCCCTGCTGCGTCCAGAGTAGAGCCTGAAAATTCGTTGTCCTCTAATTTAACCAGGTTTGTAAAATCGACAAGTTAGGAATTAAAAGGTCTTCTCTTTTGTGCCTTTTCTCATGAAATTGTTTTGCTCACGATATTTTTTGCTGTTTGTGGTGGTAGTTTTAAAATATTTGACGCTTTCTCCTACAAACGGTCAAAGTAGAAAGAGAGAGACTGGTTCTAAGGTGTTCGTAGCTAAGCTAGTGAAGATTCGACTGTGAATGTCTTTATCCTACATGATTTGATGGCTTGTAAGTTGTTATCGACCTTTCGGAAACTGTAATTTTGAAGAAAGTGGCAATTCGTAAAACAGGCAAAAAGCGGAGAGCGCTAAGAATCAGAAACTCATCGATCCCTTGAGACAGCTAGTAACAGAACCAAGTTCAACAAAGAGACTGAGCAAAAAAGAAGATAAAAGGAAAGAGGGAAGCCAGAACGAGAGCAACGAAACACTGGACACAATACTAAAGCAAACAGTCCATAGACAAACTGAAAAAGAAGTAGCTGACAACTCAAAAGAGCCGGAGGACAATGAGGACAACGCTTCTGAAAGCAGGGTAGGAACTATTGGGCTTTCTTTGATAACAAAGATTATGACCTCTAATGGTCGTAACTAAATAGTGATAGTTTCCCTACCGTGAAAATAATGATCAATGAAAAATTAGCAAACGCCAAACGTGTGGTTTCGCTTTCTGACGTCTTCTGTGATCTTTACGTCTGATTTCCGAAAAATCACAAGGAAGATGTAGAAAATCTCTTTCGTTTCTAAATTTCAAGTAAGATTTTCTCCTCTTCCTCTCCCCCCTTCGTATTCTTTTTGTATTCACGCGCGGTAAAGAACCAATCGCAATGAGTGTATAAAATTTCAAGTTACAATTTTTCTCTTCCTCTCCCCCCTTTGTATTCTTTTTGTATTCACGCGCGGCAAAGAACCAATCGCAATGAGTGTATAAAATTTCAAGTTACAATTTTTCTCTTCCTCTCCCCCCTCTGTATTCTTTTTGTGTTCACGCGCGGCTAAGAACCATCCGCAATGAGTCTATAAAATTTCAAGTTACAATTTTTCTTTTCCTCTCTCCACTTTGTATTCTTTTTGTATTCACGCGCGGCTAAGAGCCAATCACAATGCTTGTATTAAATTTCAAGTGACAATTTTTCTCCTCACCTCCCCGCTTTGTATTCTTTTTGTATTCACGCGCGGCAGTAATGGGCTCCTGCGCGCGGCTAAGAACCAATCGCTATGCGTGTATTAAATTTCAACTGGCAATTTTTCTCCTCCTCTCCCCGCTTTGTATTCTTTTTTGTATTCACGCGTGGCTAAGAGCCAATCGCAATGCGTATATAATTTAGCCTAATATATAAACCACGCTGGTAAATAAAAGCTCGATGAACTTCGTTTGGAAGAAAAGAAGTACAATTTGTTAACTTAGCAAAAAAATAATCGCACAGACTTCGTCGTAAAAGTCCACTTTTTAATCTTGTTGGCTTTTTATTCTGCTGAATTGGGACACGGAAGTTTCAAGACAAACTAAAAGGAAATCACTTTTTAAACTTTTTGAAGAAATTAATTTCTTAGAGAACAATTTTTTGTTACCGCTATTCCCCTCCCTTCCTCGAAAGTTTATGTTTCCGCTTAAATCAGTTTGGGAAGACTAAGAAAGGTCTGTACTTGGAGGCAGATTCACAGTTTTGTGCTGTAAAAACCAGAGCCTTAGTCTCGGTTTTCTTTTCCACTTCCAGGAACGTTTTGATATAGTGGAATCCCTTTTGGAGTTTCCATTCTTACCTCTTCAAACCGACAGTCGCCGTAAATCATCCCCAGAGTCTTTGGAACCATCTTCTGCCCCCGCCCATCAAACTGGTGCCTCTCGCCAGAGACATTTCTCTCTTGGAGGCGTACCACAATCCCCGTCTACTTCAGGACAGTCCGAAGCCCTTTCAGCTCCGAGAAGTTCCAACGAGGCAACGAGGAGACGAAGCTCGCAATCGAGGAGGAGCTCCATAGCCGCATCGTTGGCAGGGCCTGGTGAGACTAAGAAAGGTGCGTTGGGATTAGGTACGCTGGCAGCTTCTCTAGTGAAATGGAAAATAAATAGTGCGAGAAAAGTGATAAGGACGCAAGAGACCATTGCTAAGGTAAACTTTTACTTCGAGGTTACCAGGAGCTCTCTCAACCTGGTTAAATAACCTAAAAAGTAAAGTATTTCTCTGATCAGAAGTTAACAAAACTATGCCAAAAGCTTCCTTATTCCCTTTTAAAATATACAACAGAGCCCTTGTAGTCTTTAAAAAATATCATTCAGCAGTTCACTTGTGGTATAAGGCCTCCTTGCCATAAGTTTAAGGTAAAAATGTAATGTCCTAAATGTTTCTTTTTTCAGGCAAGATAAAGTTCTTGAATTGTTTTTACTATTTCAGGATGCCAAGCACCAAGAATTTATGGATAGAGCAGCTGACCGAATCAAAACTGAGGTAGGTGCTGGAGATTACTGATCAAATGGAAGCAATTAAAGGAAAAAATTGTATCATTCCCTGTGATTAAATGTATAAGAAATGATTGTTGTATTGTAGCAAATGCCGGACTGAAATATTATTATTTTAGCTTCCAAGGTCTTTATTGATCAGTATCCAGGAAGAGGCTTATCCTATTGTACTGAGAACAGCTCAAGGTACTGGAAATTTTACCAGATATTACTAAAACATATTATCAAAAAAACATGCAGAATTCAAGTTCTATGCCAGCATATTGTGCCCTTTATCTGTAAAATGAGAGGTTTGGCATCTAGTCCCGACCACATACCCCTAAGGATGGCTGGAATTCAATTCCAGAGTACAATCTTGCCTGTCACATAGCTAAAAGAAAGGATTTGGAAATTTTTCATGATTTGAGTGTACATAACACTTACAAGTAACAACCTTTTTCACATACTTTTACATTTCAAGTTACTTTCTTAATGCATAGGTTAATATTGTAAAATGAATTTGTTATTTTACAAGCTTATAGATCTCAGCTGGGAGCAAAACATAAGCTGACAGTTCAAGCTTCAGAACGACTGGCCGACCTAATGCGAGACCTTACCAATCCTTACTAATACAACTGTCAACAGTATCAATTTATCTCTTCTTTTAATAGAAAACTGTATGAAGAATTTTACTTAATAAACCTTTATGTGTTTGATTGAAAAACTGTCCTGGTGTCCAAAATCTGCTTTAAACATCTGCTACTAAGTAGTTTTTGTTATTCAGGATTTTTTTTCTTCTTACATTAGGCTTATATAGCATGGAGATACTTAACTCTCTCAAGACATACTAAAATCTGCTATCTCCAAATAAAATATTTTTTCTTATTGCTATAAACAATTTCTCCTTTTGAATCACTAGTAAAAATATTAAATTCAAAAGTGACATTCATATGCCGTCTATATTTAGGATTTCGCCTCAAGGTGGCAGAACCTTCAATAAAATTACCAACATGAACAGTCACTGGCTCTTCTAGTAGAAAAAGATTTTGTTTCCAGTGAGTTTGTTCTTGATCAGGTGCTGTTGACAGTATCACACATTCTGATGTATCTGTGATGGGTATCCCTCCAAAAGTTACACTGAACCATGAACACAGCCCATGTAATGTACCTTCCTTACTAATCACAAACTCAAAATTTTCCGACATCAGTTCAAGATTTTCCTTCACAAACGTGGACATGTCAATATCCAAAAGAACTGCTCCTTGAGACAAGCAGTCCCTTGGGTCAAGCTCATGGTTATGCAAAGGTCTGTTAAGAACTTCTGTCTTAGCTCTGTTAAGAAAAGGAGAAAAATCAAAACCATATTGATTGTTCCATGCAGTAACTTTCTCTTTATAAGCTTCTTCTGCACAACAAGGTACAACAAATAACTTTGCATTTGAAGGCCATATCACACCATCAGGCTTCAACCATCTGTCTCGTGCATACAGCACTGTGTCGATCATAAACTCGAAAACAAGGAACGTACCCATCCACTCAGAGATAATAATGTCAACTTTCTCTGGTAACTCAATTTCTTCAATCTTTCCTGTGATAACGGTGATTATCTTGTGTAAATCGTTTCTTTCAACGAGTTCTTTGGTCAGTTCCCCGATATCTACACTTCCATCCACAGCGTAAACTTTACTTGCCTTTCCATCTTTAGCACAAAACAAGCTCAGAATCCCTGAACCACATCCAACATCTAAGACAGTTTTTCCAATGAAAACATCTCGATGCTTTTGGATGGCGTTTCGATAAGCAAGAGTTCTTGGATGATCGCTTAACATCTCAAGGTGGATTTTCACTTTGCCGTATGCTCCAAAGTACTCTTCATCCTGCCAATCGTGATTCTGTGTGTGCCGAGATAGGTACTCAGAAACAGGTACCACATAGGACACCGGAACATATCCACATATTTCATCTAGTTCGGCCCACCACCAAACACTGGAACTCTCGCTTAAAATAGTCATTTCGTCACCTTCGTTGAAGCTCAATTGAGTGTTATCTTCTGCGACGAAATCAGCCATTGCAACAACTAATTTTGGAGACTGTTTTTCTCTCTTATCCACATCGTTGTTAGCAGCCATGTTGGCCGGGAAGAATGGTGATGAAGCGAACCAATCAACAAATCCCAGCGGTCGTCATTACGGCTAACCAGTTCGGAGAGCTTTTCCTCTAATTTTATTTTTCCAGATATGAAACTACTCTTGCCTTGCGGGCTTCAAAGCGAAATCTAAGGGCTCATTGACAGGTCTCCATGTAAAATTATGTGGCGAGAAATTGGCGAGCGCAAAAGTTTTAGCGAGAGGAAGGCGCCCTTGCCATGATCATTGCGTGACCTTATTCCCAGACCACTCTCGGCTTGCTAGCCCCTCTGAGGATTCTTCCCTATCACAGTTCAAAGGGTATCCATCTAAAGAAAATATGAAAAACAGCTTCCTATCATTAACGCCAACTACTGTGCGCTCTTAGTCATTGTGACCTCCCAAAAGATTAATGCTAAAATGACAATACCTGACTAAGATATTATTTTGGATGTTTCAAACTCTTCTTTATATAGTCCTATATTTTCTTGGGGGTGTTGTTTTTCTGTTCAACTTACTTAAAATGTATTGTGATACGTTGTATGTACCGCCCCTTGGCAAAGCTAAGTAGCATGAATGTCACGTTTCTCTAAATCTATCTGCTGTGACTTTTGAGGAGAACTTTTCACGGATACATCCCTGGCGGAAATTTTGTAGCTATTTGACTACGTGTTACAGCATAAACTGAAAAGCCTGTGCTGTATGTATATTTAAATCCTGTCAATGTTAAAAGCGGAATATCATATTTCGCGTTGATAATGTACCGATAACGTACGGCCTGGATAACATAAGTGTCAGTTTAAACTTAGATCATGTGGTAATGCTGTCAACAGAAAAACTTTGTCACATCACATGTGGGCGCATGGCCAAATTCACGCGAAAGTCAAGTTGTAGCTCATTGTTGACTGGCTAGTACAAAGTATGATTGCCTGTACAAGGGTTTTATGTCGATTGCGCAGCATGTTTTATTGAGTAAAAACAAACAATCTGAGCAATTATGAGAGCACCGGGAATTGTAGCTTTCTTGTTTCTCAGTGGATGTCTACAATTTTTGTTTCCAAGAAGACGACAGCGAACACAAAGAGGAAAGAGAGATTGTGCCATAGATGGAAGGAAAATAAGGAAAGTTCCCACCAACGACACGTTTAGCAAATCACATGAATCGTCCGTTAGCCGTAAAGGAACGAAAAAACCATCCCGAGTTTCCCACTTCTGTGGACCGCAAAATCTGAACAGAGAAGATCAGCTGTGGTTACAAGCATACCGCTTTGGAGCGAGATAAACAAGGAACATTTTCAGCTTGCTACACGTCAAATACACAAGGGTACTGATGAACTCAATGGAATTTTTTATTATATTTTTTTTATTTTGAAATCTGAAAGAAGAGATGCCGCCTTTGTTCCCAGTAATGTTTGACAGGATGTTTTAACAACCGCAACAGGAAACCCGGAAGTCAACAATAATTAGCTTCAGCCAAAACGACGACATGCATTGAGAGACACTCGTGCTATTGTGAAACTTAATTTTTTGCTTAAACGCAATTTTACAATGATTTCTGCGGTGAACGAATATTGCAATATTTAAAATGATAGTTGCAGAGATTTCATGTTTATACCCGCTAACCGGTCTATTCGGACAAGATTAATTTGCCTTGCAATAATTCAGTCAGTAATGAGGTCATTGATAATTATATCAATATTTAAAAGGGTAACGAGCAAATTTTGGTTCTTGTAGAAATGAGCCACTTGGATGCTTTTTTCTATTAACATGTCATGCTTCAGTAATGTTTATTGGTTCAATTTTTATTTGCTACCCTTGCTATATGTTTTACCCACCCGGAGCTAAACTGTAATCTTATTGTTTACAAAAGATAAAAGTTGAAGTGGCCTTTGATGAGGGCAAATCTTTAAAGAACAACAAATAATGTTATCAGAAATGCACATACGATAAAAGAGACACATTAAGTTTTAAATGACAACTGTATAGTACGAATGTAAAATTGTATGACAAACTTTGTATTGTATTCTTCAGCGAGCTGATGGGTTGCCAGGTTTCAGCTTGTAAAGCAAAATTATTGATATAAACGGGAATAAAGTTTTGTGGAGCTATGTAAAAACCTGTTTAAGACTATTGAGGAGAAACAGTTACTGAAGCTCGGTGTACCAAGTCGAGGCCAGGACCAGCACAGAAGCAACACAAGCACAAGGACCTGCTCAGTCGCATGCTAAACAAGCAACCATGGTGAGAATTTAAAGCCTACGTAAGACATTGTATGGAAAAGAAAATAACTTATTCTCTTCATAAAGCGAAGCAAGCGCTTGACACGAGAGGTAGGTTAGTTTTATGATTCTCAACGATTCCACGAGTAAATTAATGCCGCAACACTTTATGCTTTCAGCGAGTGAATAGGTTATCAACCTTCGCCCTTCTCCGCGAGACATGAATCTGGGACGCCTGAGCATAGCTCAACGACAAATTTTTCATTACTTGAATGGCAGTTCTCCTAGCCTCATAAATTTTAATAGCGTTCGCCCAAAACATTAAAAAAAATTCCAATCCTTCAGCTGCAATATAGGTTTCCCCAGGTAAACAACATTTACAGTAAAGCATGAAAATAGCAGTGCTGATAATTTGCAAGAATAATAATCTTAATACTAGTAATAAAAAAATGAATCTATTGGCTCAATTGGCCACCGGATTAAACCATGCTCTACAGACTGCAAAGGAGGCTTGAGGTCGGCTGTTTTTGAATTTTCTTCTGCAAACGCATACTCCTCAGGGTGAATTGGAGCGCTGGTAAATTCGCGTAACATACATCCCGTCAACCTGAATAACCGCTGACTGTCAGCTGTGTCTGGGTGTTCTTCCCCAAGTAGCCTCCGTCTAATGTAAAGCGCACGCCATGCAGACTGCATCGCTGCGTTAAAACAGCTTAACTCATATTGCGTCCATCCAAGAAGATAATAACTGTCTGCAGTCCTTATGTGGTTTTCTCCAAAAATTGTTCGTCTGATGTGAAGCGCACGCAGTGCAGACTGAAGAGCCGAGGGAAAGTTTTTCATCTCGTGCTGGGTCCAACCAAGTAAATGGTAACTGTACGCTGTGCTTGATCGAACCTCTCCAAAAATCTTTCGTCTTATACAAAGCGCTCTCTGTGCAGATTGAAGAGCTGAGGCAAAGTCGTGTAACTCATGTTGGGTCCACCCAAGAAGGTGGTAACAGTCAGCTGTGTCGGGGTGTTCTTCTCCAAAGAGCCTCCGTTTGATATCAAGTGCACGCTTTGCAGATTGGAGTGCTGAAGTGAAGTCTCCCAACTCATTTTGCGTGCACCCGATTAGTTGGTAACTGTCAGCTGTGCCTGAGTGTTCCTCTCCATACAGTTTCCGTCCGATGGCAAGCGCACCGTGAAAAGACCGAAGCGCGGAGGTAAAGTCTTCTGACATATATTGCTTGCATCCAAGTAAATGGTAAGTGTCAGCTTTCTCTGAGTCTTTTCTTCTTGGCCGTTTCCGCATGATATCACTTGCACGCAGTTCAGACTGAAAAGCTGAGGTAAGATTGCAATATCAATATACAAAGTAATAATATATTGTATCAATTGTAGACTTTATGTCAGTCTGCTTGCAATGAACATGCACTCTACTGGTGGAAACGAAGAACGACGCATTTGTCTTTGACAGACGCACTAGGAGACTTTCAAACAAACTGATTACGAATGCTCCCGTTAAGAGTCGAACTCGTACTTCAAATGTTTCAGCACGAAGCTATCATTCTAGGCCATTGAGTTACAAAGAGTCCATGTTACTAATATTCTTCAACCTACAACTGAGAACTTGTTTCATTTGTAGCTACTATAAAAGAGTCTCCACTGGGTGGAATTCTGTTGGTAGCACTTGGACACATTTGTTTTTTCCAAGGCTGGGCATGACTGTGGTATTGATTATAAAAACCGTAACTGTCCTTTCACGAATTGAGTTATAAAGGTTTTGTTCTTTTTGCTCTTATCAGTTTCTAGTCCCGTTTCGCACACATCTGGGCTTTTAGTTCATCTAGCAAGCTGAAAATTCAACGCACTGCTAAAAAATAATTTGAGTCTATAAAATGAACTCATAATTTCATCTGACATTTGTTTTACATTCTTTCCCAGAGAATAATTCATTGTGACATTAAACTTTGTTTGTTTGTTCTTTTTTTTCCTGCAGTTTTACCCGCTAACACACCCGCCGGTTGGAGACCTTGTTGACTTACTTGAGTTACTCTTGAAGATTTGTTTTCCTTCTTCGTATTCCTTCTCAGAAATAAGGGTTTTAAGCTTTATTTCAGCACAGTCAAGCTCCACCAAAACCTCCGATCTCACAAGCATTTCTTGAGCCACATTATTAAGAAGGCCACTGCGGTAGTCTGCCCATAGTCCTTCAAGGATCTGCAAAGAGCTGCATTCAACTGTGATTATCAAACTTCCCCTATCATGGCTTCGTACACGGACATTAAGTTTACGAGTCAAATATTGTAAGAATACTTCAAAAGCTTTCTTAAAGGACAAAATGACATCCCAGATCTGAATCTCTGTAGAGTGATCTAAGACATTTTGTTGAAGCTCTGCTGGACAGTCGAAAAAATACTCCACCCTCTCTGCTGGTCTTCGGGCTTGATCAGTATGTGTCGTTGGAGATTTAGGGGTAGCATCAGGTACTTGTGACCTCCTGTACGGTTGGTCTCTTCCCGCTCGTGTTCGTGTGATGCTCTCAATGTTGATCACGACATGCATAGCTATCGAAAAATAATATAATTCTCTTAGAATGGCGCCGAATCGTTAAAATCAAAATGAAAAATAGTATGATATCAGCCAAAGAACACTGAAAGGAGAGAATAAATCTTATTTTGATTCTTTGGTCATCAAGACACACAACGACTTTATTTTTTTCGTTATCGTAGGTATCAGAGCTTCAGCAATGATAACGCTGCCTAACTCAGGTTAACACCTATCATGTGAGGCTTTCCGAACCCAAAGGCCGTAAATTATTTTGGCGGGCGGCCAAACCAGTTACCTGCTATCTCTTGTCTCAACTCAGCGATGTCTTTCCTGGTTGCAGCAGCATTCTCTTGGATAGTGTCTATACCTAAACTCATGGCGTCCTCGAGAAATCTTACATATGCATGATTCTCTTCTTTGATACTTTTCTGCAGTTCCTGAACTCTTTGTGTGGGAAAGTCCGACTCTGATAAACTTCCTATAACATTCAGTTGGCTTGAGTTAGCGCCAAGGGCAGCAAATGCATCTTTGGAGTATTGAATGTACTGATCGAATGTAACTTTACTAATTTCAGAGCTGTGCAAGTGACAAAGTGAATTTCTTAAAAGTCGCAATTGATCAATAGCGAGTGCTAACGTTTCAGCATTGTCTCCCCTTGAGCTGAACACCGAAGCATGAAAAGTTCCATGTGCTAACTTGCGAGGTTTAACGTACAATTCAGCAAGTGTCCTGTGATGACCTCTGCTATCTGGTAAACTGAATGACTGGGCATAGAGGGTGGCCTGAAACAGGGCAGTACAATCCCATTCATCGAATGAGAGGTGCACTGGAACTTTTGTTGCGCCACCTTCCTCTACAAGAAATAAGTTTCTGGCAGTAGTGGAGTCATCCCATGGTTGAAAGCCAGGACGATGTCCAAAAGTGTTGTCCCACATAGATCTGAATGTCTGACGCAATGCTTTAGGAAAATCATTCAAAGCAACTGAAGCGAATTTGAAATAGTTTAATTGCTCGTCGTTAAAGGGATGTAACGCCATTTTCCTGCAACAGATTTTGTCAACGTGAAAAACTTAACAATAAAAATATTCAAATAACTAGTAATCAGGGGATCAAACACACTGTATATATTTATAAATTCCTACAAATAAACCGGGCGGTATCTATTTTAACAGTTTTCGACGAGCGCGCTAAGGATACGATGCACCGGATATCATGTGGGAGTGGCACACAGCCGGACCTGATCTTACACTCAAAGACAGTTGAAATGGACAGGTTACAACCCTCCTTGAGAATCTTTCAAGTACCCTTTTGACGTTGAAGTTCATGTGAAGTGCACGACCTTAGCATTATTTTCCATTACTGTACAAGCCTTGTACGGGTGCTGAGCGACGGGAAATGATGAAGGACACCGTGCGTTAATTTTCCATGCCAACGTGTATGGAGTATGAACACTTTCGAATTCAGTAATACTTCATATTTTTAACATAAAGAATGTACCCGGGTATAACTTTCGAGAGATTCATGTATCGTCAGACCTGTACAGGTTTTTTTTTTTGTAGAAAAGCGTACATCCTTGGCACTTTTAGCTTGCAAACTCAGTGAAATGTTTTGCCCCTAAACGATCAATTTTACATCGCGACATATTGAATTGTATGAAATGCATATTGAAGTGTATAAGGGCCTATTTACACGGTACGACTTTGTCGCATGCGACAAGCTTACGACAGGCTTACGACACGAATTGTTTCGTGTAAATCAAACCTACAACTCGCTTACGACTCTTAAGTCATGTCGTAGGCCTGTCGTAAGCTTGTCGCATGCGACAAAGTCGTGCCGTGTAAATAGGCCTTAAGAGGGACACTGAAATCAGTACCACTTTCTTCTTCGTTCTTCTGCGCCCTCAGTCCTTCCCTTCTTATCAAGTCAACTTTGACTTAATACAATTCGAAACGTACTTTTCAGCTGAACTCAACATTTGAATCAGTGATTTAGTTTTTCGGACTTGTCATTTTGGGCTAATATTAGGGAACTTAAGCAAACCACAACGGCGACGGCAACAAGGACATGGAAAAACAAAAGATCTAATTGGCAGAACAATAGCTCAGCACGTACGTTTTAAAATTTTGTACATTTCTCAGCCGTCCTATGCAAAACGTGAAATCACCACAATTTGCGTCGTCTGCGAACCGAAACCGTGACAGCAAATTATGTTAATTTCCATTTGGAACCCAACGCTTTTTTTAAACGTTATGCTAAAGTTGAGGTATGGCGCCGTATGCGGAGGCGGTAAACATATGCAGTCATTTTTTAAATTCTAATTAGAGGCAGAAATTCATTTTTTAATCGAAGTCTTCCTTGGCGTTGCCGTCCTGACTGCTTAAGGTCCCTCAGTGTGTGCCTCCGGCAAGTTTCTATTTTTGGCTAGGTCCCTTTCCACTGTGCCTAACATGTAAGCTTTCGATCAGCCTTTTATTTCGATTATTCTCAAGCTTTCCACAAAGCTAAAACAAAGGCTTTGCAGTTTCAGTCATAAAAAGAAACAAGTGACTTCAGACACTCATTCCAAAAGTAATGTTGTGGTGTAATCGGTATATCAAAGCTACACAAGAGCAACTAAAATAATGTCTTAATAGCGAGCCATTTGGAGGTCAATCGGAGCGTTCAACTTACCTTAAAACAATAGCAGAGTTTTACTTTACATAGCTTTATTTATCGATATAAAGTCAAGGTTCTGTTTGATTTCCCGTTCATGATTTGCATTGATGCCCCAGGTGAAATCGGTCGTATCGAAACCAAACAACAAATCAATTATTCATCTTCCTCAAAAAGCTAGCTGTGCTTCTGAAAAACTCCACCTGACAATAATCTTGGCCTCACATAAGATTTTCTGGCAATCAAGCTTTAGACTTAAAATATGGCTGAATACTTACCTTTTCTAAATTCAGTCCGTGGTACATAAATTACGAATTTACGATGTGCATCGAAAGTGCTGCAATAGGAATAATTTTTCTATTCAACGAGATTAGCTCATGGAAGTGCTCTTCTTCTAGGCTAGCTAGATAACTAAGAGCCATACCAACACAATATAACTTCTGCGCCAGCTTAACATGATTGCAGTACCTTCAATAGAAACTCAGCAAAACAAGTACACTATTATGGATCAAAACAGTGTAGAACAATGAAGTATAGAATGAACAGACAGCCAGTTACCTAAAGCGGAAATGCATAAAGCTCTGGTATCTGTGCCAGTTTCTATACACACTGTATTCTAAAGCGTAAATGTGTGCTAGTAATTACCGTTCTAGATGAACTCCAGGCCAAAGTTGTGACTTTTAATCCAGATCGTATTAGACAACCGAATAACTCGTGAAGCCGCACAAGTCCAAGTTTATGTAATTTTTCATTAACCACAGGTTAACCATTCAGTCACTATACCCTTTCTCCTTTCTTATGGTCACAGGTCACTGCTAGATAGTAACACAGTTCAATGGTATTTCTTCGCTCATGCCCTCAGGTAGGATAAGTAGATTTCGATTGACTTTTATAAAATATAACGATAGTGCGCACGCTCCCATTGAACGATAGGTGTGTGTTAATACGGTTGAGACGTTACGCTCTCATTTGTCGAATTCTGTTTTATTTTTAATATTTCATAGAATCAATCAGTGGAGGGTTTTTTTTTCGTGTTTATATAGCCCTATCTTAACATTCGGGGGTTGAGAGAATTTTCGAAAATTGTGCAAACCCTCGACTGCATCTTAGGTTTGCCTAACTTTCTCAAATTTTCCAAACCCTCCTCGTGTCTGAGAAATTTAGGTAACTATATATCTTTTCAGTGATAATACATCGATACCATTTACTAACTGGGCTTGTTCATATTACTAAGTTGTGGTGTATTTCTTTTCAACAGTGAAATTTTTGGAAAACGTTTGATACTTTCATCTAATGGTCTACTGAGCAATTAGGAAATATTGTAATAATTTGTTAACTAAACTTCATTAACAATGGTTCAGAGTTGCTTCCGTAAGCAAGACATTTCATACATATTTGACCAATGCACTTTACCGATGAAATTGTTCCCCGTTCTTAACATCTTTGTATGGAAGATTCTTCTCTCTTCAATTGTCTTAAACAAGAAAGTAGTGGTAGTTAACAGAGACATTTTTGAGTCCAGTAGCTGTTTTTACATACCTTTGTTTGCACGGCCAAGTCAAGAGGGTGGCGCTAAAGGGCGTTACTTATTTGTTAGTTTATTGGGTATATGAATGAGAGACAACAATGACCAGAAATGGATAAATAGAAAACAAGAAATCAGCTCAATTACTACTCCATATAGACTTCTTAATTTTATTAATGAACTGCATTGCAAAAATTACATAGCTCCATCCCAAATATTTACAATATAATAATAAGTTAAAGTCAAAATTCCTTTGTATAAATTTTAATAGAGTTCGCCCAAAACATTAAAAAAAATCCGATCCTTCAACTGTAATATAGGTTTCCCCTGGTAGACAACATTTACAGTAAAGCATGAAAATAGCAGTGCTGATAATTTGCAAGAATAATAATCTTAATACTAGTAATAAAAAAATTAATCTATTGACTCAATTGGCTACGGGATTAAATCATGCTCTACAGACTGCAAAGGAGGCTTGAGGTCGGCTGCTTTTTAGTTTTCTTCGGCAAACGCATACTCCTCAGGGTGAATTGGAACACTGGTAAATTCGCGTAACATACATCCCGTCAATCTGAATAACCGCTGACTGTTAGCTGTGTCTCGGTGTTCTCCTCCGAGAAGCCTCCGTCTGATGTAAAGCGCGGGCCATGCAGACTGCATCGCTGAGTTGAAACAGCTTTACTCATATTGCGTCCATCCAAGAGAATGGTAACTGTCTGCAGTCCTTATGTGTTCCTCTCCAAAATTGTTCGTCTGATGTGAAGCGCACGCAGTGCAGACTGAAGAATTGAGGCAAAGTTTTTCATCTCATGCTGGGTCCAACCAAGTAAATGGTAACTGTAAGCTGTGCTTGATTGAACCTCTCCAAAAAACTTTTGCCTTATACAAAGCGCTCTCTATGCAGATTGAAGAACTGAGGCAAAGTCGTGTAACCCATGTTGGGTCCACCCTGGTAGGTAGTAACAGTCAGCTGTGTCGGGGTGTTCTTCTCAAAAGAGCCTCCGTTTGATATCAAGAGCACGCTTTGCAGATTGGAGGACTGAAGTGAAGTCTCCCAACTCATTTAGCAAGCACCCGATTAGTTGGTAACTGTCAGCTGTGCATGAATGTTACTCTCCATGCAGTTTGCGTCTAACGGCAAGCACACCATGAAAAGACTGAAGCGCGGAGGTAAAGTCTTCTGACATATATTGCTTGCATCTAAGTAAATGGTAAGTGTCAGCTTTCTCTAAGTCTTCTTCTCCTGGCCGTTTCCGCATGATATCACTTGCACGCAGTTCAGACTGAAAAGCTGAGTTAAGATTACAATATCAATATACAAAGTAATACAATATTGTATCAATTGCAGACTTTGTGTCAGTCTTCATGCAGTGAACATGCACTCTACTGGTAGAAATGAAGATGGCTGATTTCGAGCTTGGTGGCTAAAACGAAAAACGACGCATTTGTCTCTAACAAACGCACTTGGAGACTTTCAAACAAATCACGAATGCTCTATTAAGAGTCAAACTCGTACTTCAAATGCTTTAGCACGAAGCTATCCTACTACACCACTGAGTTACAAAGGGTCCATGTCACAAATATTCTTCAGCCTACTACCGAGAACTTATTTCATTTGTAGCTACTATATAAGAGTCTCCACCAGAAGGACTTCTGTTCGTACACTTGGACACATTTTCTTCCAGTGGAATAGATTATAAAAACCATAACTATCCTTTCAGGCGCAATTCAATCCTCCGCTGGACTTTTGTATACCCCGAAACTTATCAGTTTCAGTCCCGTTTCGTACACATTTGGGTTTCAGTTAGTTCATCTAGCAAGTTGAAGATTCAACGCACTGTGAAGAGATAATTTGAGTCCATAAAATGAACTCATAATTTCATCTAACATTTGTTTCACATTCTTCCCCAGAAAATAATTCATTATAACATTAAACTTTGTTTGTTTGTTTTTTTTATTTTTTTTTCCGTTGTTGCTTTGGTTTTTTTGTTTTTCTGCAGTTTTACCTGCTAACACGCCCGGCGGTAGGAGACCTTGTTGACTTACTTTAGCTACTCTTGAAGATTTGTTTTCTTTCTTCGTACTCCGTCTACAATGGGAGCGTTTATTTCTTTCTTTCTGAATTCTGGACTTTTGCAATACAGATCAAGGAAATCATGCCGTCGAGGACCATCCCTTCAGTTTTTTTCCTTTTTTTCTTGTTTTATTTTGGGAAAGTGAACTTTCTGGACATATGGGGCGGGAAAGTGGCCACAAATGAACAAAATCCACACTTCTCAACAACTGGATACTTAAACCAACACCTTTATTTTTTGATTATTTGCTTACAAGCAAGTCCATCGATACTTCGATTAAGTTTTTTTCCCAAGAATCCCAACACTACAGTTAATACTTGAAGTAAACTAATGATTAGCCTTTCTCTGACAAAGAATCACAGGAGCATCTTTGGCGGCATGCCGTGAAATGTTAGCAGTGCAGGTATAATCATTCCATCTCCCTTTCCGGGAACCTGTTCCCCACATGTGACCACATTTCTCTGAGCGATTTAAGTTATTTGGTTCTCCTGGAAACCAAGCTTTGTAGCCAGTTAGTGGAGTGTCATCTGCCCAGTAGAACTTATTGTCTGCCTTACGATGAATACCAAGCCAAACACCAAATAGGGTTACTTTTTTCTGCTTGAGGAGGAGCCCGAAGATGAACTGATTCTCTGCGCTCGATGTGATCTTTGCGAGATCTCCGCCGAACCTTTGGCAGTTTCGTCTGGCGTCTTCCCATTCCAAGGTTGGAGTGTCGATGATGAGGAAACAGGAATTTCCATGGCGCACCCAACCGTCTGGACAGGCCGACCCTCTCTGATCTAAGAAGAGGGAAGCGGTAAGTTGCTGTTAATAGACAGACAAGTCACACATCTATAGATCTTCGATCAGGTGCACTTGTAGGTGAAGCTGGTAGGGGAGGGAAAAAGTCAGGGAACACTCAGGGGCGCTGTGACTGACTTTCGGGTATTCGAACGTAATTTAGTTGAAAAAGTTTAACTGTCACTGTAAATTTTGATAATTTCTGGTGGTCAATCTGTGTTCCTTAAGCAAGATCCATAGCAGTTGCTTCAATAACCGTAAACAAGTCAGATTTCCCGAGAATGAAAAAACTTTTGCAGGGAGGCATTATTTCGAGAAGGGTCCGATTTAAGAAGTTCACGAATTCAAAGAAAAAGAGACTTCGAGCTTTTTCAGAACGTCAACAGCTTGAAGAAACTCCAGTCTAAAACGATGTTTCTCAAACAGCATCAATAAAAATTACATAAACTGAACAAATTTTGAAAGTTACCACAATCCGAGTACCTGTGGATCGTTCGGCGATGTAATCCACTTTATCTTTAATGTACTTCATCATTTCACGATCTCCTCTTTCCAATCCACAATTATTGTTCACCACAAAGTTCTGATCTGCTTTACTTTTTTTGACGGGTTGAACGCTGGAATTTTGAGGTTTACCATCAGAAAAGGTCCTCATTATTAACATAAAACAAAGTAGCCATACGTAATTCGAACGAGCAAACATTTTCGTTTAGCGCGGCAATTTGTTTTAGGGTTTGTTTCAAGAATTTAACCCGATGATAGTGCAGAGCCTTCAAACACCGTAGCTGCTACTTATTGCTTTATGTAGCGAGGTTTTATTACAAAACAAATAATTTACATCTGTGAAACGAGAACTTTTTTCGAGTGTGTTGTGTACACATCTTGATAGCGGAAAGGACACGGACCCGGAGGCAATCACTTCTTATGCAAATCTGACAGTGTTGATATTAATCCACGATACCAATGTTTATCTAAAAATACGTGAATAGCCGCATTTTTCACCACGTTAAATTCTCCCCCCTGTTTGTACCTACTATTTCTACCTTTCTCAAAAAGGATTTTGTCCGAGCGACGAAATATCTCCAAAAGTTTAAAAATTATCATACAAATTTCGTACTCAAGACAATAATTTTTCAGGTCAGTCTCTGGGTCATGACAGTGTCTATATATTTCTACGTGTATTTATAAAGGAGTCGTTCAACCCATTTCCCAATGTTATTTTAGGAAAAGAAATTGTGTACTTGAAATAAAGCACATTTAATTTTGACCTTATGGCATGAGAAAACAAGTAACGGAATGATCGTCCTATGTTACAATTAACTGCAGTGGGAGTTGAATTTTTCGCGGTGCCGTCAATTTATGCCGCGACTTGATAAACATCACGCGCGGCTTTGATTTTGGCATCTCAGGAGTGAAGAGGGCAGAAAGGTATGGATGGAAGGCCAAATCTTCAGCTTATCAGTTTCCTAAATTTTATTCTAGCCACAACAAATACAAAAGGTTTGTTGGCAGATTTATTAAAAAAACAAAAACATGTTAACACACAACAGAAACTAAAATTAAGTACACCCCCTAATAGATTAAGATGAGTGTTCTCCTTCTCCTCTTACCTAAATTTTATTCTAGCCACAATAGATAAAATAGGTTTGTAGCAGATTTATTTTTAAAAAATATTAACACACAACAGATACTAAGATTAAGTATACTCCCTAATAGATTATGATGGATGCTCTCCTCAGACCTCTTGTTGCGTCAAGGAAGAGGCTGACTGCGTCACAGGTAGGGGGGCGGGGGGGATATTCTACCTCAGCGCCTCTGCGGGGGGCCTAGATGAGCCATTGGTGACAACCAAAATTGACCCACACGGATGATTTCGTTTCTACAAATTTGGTTCTAAAAATTGGCTGTTTCATTTTACGAAGCATCAAAGCGTTCAAACGAAGAGTTGTAAACGTTCTTAGCATCCGGAGCGCGTTCATTGCTGGTGGCAAGCTGGGTCTTAGAGGACGCAGCTACAGAACAGCTCATGAAGCATTTCTTCAAACACCTGGACAGTGAAAGAAGTGCCCATGAATCTCTTCACCACGCCAATAAGGGACTGAGAAATAACGGCTTCACTAAAACCTCCTAATGGGCTCCGTTTATGCTGATAGGAGATAACTTCACATTTTATTTTGAGAAATTGAGGTAATTAAATATCTTTTCAGTGATTATACATACATACCACTACCTAACTGGGCTTGTTCGTGTTACTAAGTAGCGATGTATTTCTTTTTATTTGTGAAATTTTTGGAAGATGTTTGATACTTTTATCTAATGGAAATATTGTAATGGTTTGTTAACTAAACTTAATTGATAATGGTTCAGAGTTGCTTCTGTATGCAAGATATTTCATACATATTTGACCAATGTGCTCTACAGTTGGAACTTCTCCACTCATAACAAATACTCAACACAAATACTCAACATCTTTGTATGTTTTTGTTAAGGAAAGAAAAACCAACTGCAATGGAAAAGAATGAGGGAGAAAAGAAAGAGAGTGATAACTAACTCTTTTATGAAGATTCTTCTCCTCTTCAATTGTCTTGAACAAGAAACTGGTGCTATTTAACACAGACATTTTAAGTCCATACCTCAGTCCCCCTGGATCTGCAAAGCTGTTATTGGCAAAGATCAAAGAAAAATAAAAAAGACACCAACCTCATGAGTTTATCAATTATCTCTCCATACAGACTTCTTAATTTTATTAATGAACTGCATTGCAAAAATTTCATAACTCCATCTCAAATATTTACAAATACAATAATAAGTTAAGTTCTAAAGTCTTTTGTATGCAGTGTAAAATATTGATAAAACTTTACTTTAGTGATAAATTTGACAATATAAGATACAATGTAAAATATCAACTCAGCTTTGTTTTAAAATTGGTTAGTTTTTATTTTTGCCAGATTCTTTTCCTCTGTACAGACCAAAAAGATGATTTTCTTCCTCATGAATCTGATGATGTTGTCAGTAAACAGATATTTTAATTTCCTAGTAATGATCGTACTGGAGACACCAAGGCACTGAAATACAAATGGTAAACTTCAATATGATAAGCATATTCAAAGCAACCCTTAGGGCTTAAAGATATTAATATCAATAAAAGAATGGCTGATTTTTCTGTTGTGGGGGAATTAAAAATAAGTTACAGAAAGACAGAAGGAAGGTTTTTACTTATTCAAGGTCATAACATTCCAATACTTTCCACAAAAATATTCTTGGACTGAAATTGTTTCAAAACTTTATAAAAATTATCATTTAACCATGGCCTTTCTTAATTTTGTTTTCCTCAGAAATATAATTTTGCATGTATTCCATGACTGTCCATAACTTTCCAGATTTTCCATGATGTAAGGAAACCCAGAACAAACACACTTAAGTAATGAAGACATCTTTTTTTCTGTTCTGGAGAGACAACTAAGTTTACTACTAGAACATCTTAAATAAAATTAAGAGAGAGGAAATACAACCAGATTTTCATACTTGAATACTTTTTGAAGTCCTGAAGTGGGCTGCTCACTATCTGTCAAAGGAATGAAATTTTTTTTTTTACATAGGTTGTTTGCATTGTATCTTTTAAATTAATTATCTAGGAGATAATTAATTTGAAAGATACAATGCAATGTAGACATAAAATTGGAGAGAAGAGAGATGCAGCTTACCATTTATTGCACTGGCTAGATGTATTCACCAGTTTACAACTGAATAAAAGCAACCTTGGATCTTATCTCTAAAAATATATGAAAAATTCAACTCTATTTTTTACCACAATGGAAAATTTGGCTTCTTATATTTTCCAAACTTAACATTTATTTAATTTGGAAAATGAGTGATTTTGCTGACAGTTCTGTTAATTGCAAGATGCCCTAAGTTATTTAAATCTTTTTTTCTTTAAAATGTTCAGTTTATGTAACATACCTTCAGTTTGCTTATCATCTTTACTTGCCAAATTTTGAAGTCTGAGAAACTCCTTCAGTTCCTTCTCTTCAACATCATGACGGTTTTTCTGTCCATACTCAGTAACTGAAATTAAAAAGCCTTCAGGTGATGCCTGTGAAATCAATGGATGCCTAGAAATTTTCCACAAAGTTTGTCTAAATGCATTGTGTAATTCACAAGGTAAAATTTACTACTAATGTTTACTCTATAAGCTGCACAAATAGAAAGATAGACTGATCTGGAAGAAAGGAAACAACAAAGAAGTCCTGATGAGTCAGATGTACAGTGAAGAACATAGCTTCTTTGCCTTTTCCTTTATGGTTCCATAGCTTTCACCAGTTGTTTAACAGGCAAGAGAGGTCACAGGTCTTTATCTTTTGTCTAAGATTCTAAATACTAAGAACAACCAGAAAATGCAAGATATTAAAAATCCTGAAGCTACATACCAATTCTCTCTTTGCTACCACTTGGCTGTAAAAATAATGAAAACATCTGGTTTGAATACATAGGTAATTGTCATGAACAAGTCCCTGTAAAAAACCTATCAGCCAAATAATGGCAAACAAAAAATTTTTTAGTCCCATTCCTCTGAAAGCTTGAACCCTCTACACCTTAACATCAGTATGCATATTCTCCATACTGTTCTCTAAGCATTTCTGTCAAGGCTGTCCAGGAGAATTTGTTCAACAATAACGAGCTTCTTAGAGTAGTGATCATTTTCATTTTTAATGGTACCTTAGTGTTTGATTCAAGGGTAAAATTGTGAGGAGAAATTAGATGCCAGTCACTCTTAGGGATCTAAGGGTTAAGTTATGCATGTATAATGCACTTACTATTGAAGTCTGATTGACATGCTCTTCCTGTTCTTGAGCTCTGTCTAAAAGACAACAATAACAGACACACAAGAATATGATATTTATATAGGACTCTCCAATCTTCATCCTGTTCACTATGATGCACCTCAGCCATGAAATCTTGAACATAAGGTGCACCTCAGTTATCCAACACCATAAAAGAATAATATTAAAAATCCAAAGAGAGTTGCTACATTTAAAACAAAACTTAGCACATTTTTACTCAAGAAATATTTACATTAGTCTTTACTCTTAATATTTTTCAAATATTTATTATGTAAAAAACTGTCTTTAACATGTCAGCTAGGACTAAAGATTTTCTTATTTATTCTATAATTTATATTTATGGCAACTGCATTGAGGTCAAATGTGCCCTTAATAAGAACTTATGTATCATTATTAATACCATTAATACATTTACAGAATTGATCATATCCGATTGGTTTAATATACCTGTCTGTACAATTTGTCCATGGTTTTTTTGTTTCTCTTCCACATAAAATGTAAAGGAATACTTATGAGCCTCTAGGAAATGACCATGCTGAGAAAATACCAGTCTTTCTCTTGTTTCCCAGTAGTTTTTATCTAAAAGCTTTGGGTTAAGTTGGTTTTGCAACAAATGTTTCATCGGAAAAGGACATGACAATGACTCTTCACAATTGTCCCCCACTATTATTTCATCTTTGAAAAACAATGGCAAGATTTCTATGTAAGCCCATATTTTCTTTTTGCATACAGTTCTTTGATAAATTCAAATGATTTGAAAACAATAAATTATCTTTAGGACTTAGGCTTTGTTTTAGAATAGTATCAGATTGGACATAAATCTTTCCATAACATCCATTAATACTACCCACAATATAATATTCCCATCAGCATTTGCAAATTGTCAATTCAATTTAATTGCATTAATTGAGTAGGTGGACATTTTCAGCATCAAATATGATCATGACAAGGACTTATGTTTGTCATTATTAAATAAAATCCCTGTCTGGAAACTCTGGTAAAAGACAGTGTTATTTTAAGCCTCTTCCTACGGGCACATCTTAATCCCTTATTGCTATCTTCTGCCTGTGTTCTCTTTCTCAGACTTATGAAATGTTATATGTTTAGTTCTGTAGCAATTAACCCTGTAACTTCCAAGATCTGATAGTCAATTCTCCCCTCCAGCTACACATATTTCCTTTTAAATTAGTTACAAGAATTTGTTGTTGGATCAAGACAACAACTTCTTCTTGATATTTTTGAGTATTTTAATTACCTGCTTGCTGGGTAATGTATAGATATGCAGGGAGAAGTCGGATGTTAATCACTTGTGGGTTACTGTGTTAAAAATTAATAATTACTGATTGCTAATGCAGTGTATTTACTGTTAAAAGGATACATGGATAGACGACAAAATTATCTGTTTGCACTGGTATAAGATCATATGTGTTCAATATGGCACAAACAACTCTCTGAGGAGAAGGAGTTAAAATTATGCATAATGATTACTTGAAATCAGACAGTCTGTAGTGATGATTCCAAGAGGTTTTTCAAATTTAAATGGACTTTGACGTAGGTCCGACCAAAATGAACTCACCTCTAGATCTTTATTGTTTTTGTCTTCTAAAAACAACCGTCGAATACTTTCTCTGTTTGGGAATTTAAAAATAGAGACGCTTTGGTAATTTATTGGAGAAAAATAACAGCAATGACAACATGTACATAGCAGTGACATCAAACATGTGAAAACCAATCGCGTAAAATTACCTGTCAGAAGATTGTCTACAAGTCACCTTAATCTTATAGACTATATTTTGGTATACTACGAGTCGAATGTCTGGTTTTTTGTCAAAATTAAAAGGCTGTAACGGCATTTTCTAGTCAGTCACTTGGCTGAGTCACTTGGCCTTGCTTGACTCTCCCGCCATTTCGTGTGAAAGCGCACCTTACACCAGCCTCGATTTGATTAGCCGAGGAAGACTAAGGCGACTGCAAGTGCCACAGTGAAGATGGAGGATTTCTTAGCCACGGTACGATCCATTTCTGCCGATAAAGATTACGTCCAACTTGCAGATTATTTAAACAGATCTAATGATTTATTAGCCAAGTATGCAGGCCAGATTGATGCTGCGATTGCATCACTTGATCCTGATCAGCATTCATTGGCATTCATGGCTCTATTGTGAGTATCTCGTTCAATGTTCCTGTTTGTTTTTCTGTCATAATGATCGGCTTCCGTTTTTATTTTCTGTTTTAACTGCTTGTTCTTTTTTTGTCCTGATTATTGCTTAGGTTGGTGAAACTATCTTTACCAAATTATGGAGACTTTGAGTTGTTATTCAGTCAGATTCAGCAGTTCATAACAATTTGCTCAAAGGAACAAATCCAATTTGCTGGGGATAAGTGTAAGTCGTTGTCAAACTATTCAGTCTGGGGTCGTTTTGTTTGTTTGTTTTTTTTTTCCAATAACATTTTCATATTTGTGGTTTACAGTTGCTCACCTGTGTCATTTCATAACGCATTGCTTAGTGGATCTCAAGCAGGTAAGATATTATTTTAAAGCTCTTTACTATGCATTAGAGATTACCCTAGGAATATAATTAGGCTAAATCGATGGCCTGAGGAGTTTTTCATTCAGACAGGAACATTTTTCCCCGAATGAACTTTTTAAAATAGACTCACTTAAGAAGGTGGGTTTTCAGATATTTTTTTATTATTATTATCTAGGTGGTTAGCTTAAAAATGGATGAAAAGAACCTAATGTTATTAATAGTATAGGGACAAATTGCTTACCATTGTTTTGTTTCAGCCAATGAGAGGGATAAGAATGATGTGTATTGCAATAAAAAAGGCACAGCAGTCCCCTACACAACTGACTTCAATTCATTCAGATCTTGCACAGGTGAGATTTCTTGTTGAAAAAATGTTCACTTTACAGCAGGTTAAAGTTCTATTTTGCAACTCTGTTTTGATCATGTTTTCATGTTGCACTTAGACTGTCATGATTGTATCAAACATCAGAAATCAGATATTATTTCTTTTGTTCTCTTGACAGCTTTGTTTACTTGCCAAGTGTTTAAAGCCAGCCCTCCCCTTTCTGGATACAGATATAACAGACATTCACAAAGAGGTAGACCATTATGTCCATGAGTGACCAAGAGAGAATTTCTCATTACAATATCAATTCAATATCAAGCAGACACATGATGAGAATAAAGAAAAACATCAATTAAGAGATGACTGGTTGATCCAATACCAAATTCTCCAAACTAACAAAAAGAGAACTGTATAGCAGACAGCAATGAGAGTTGACAATGGAATCTAGGGAGTGAAAGGGTTAAATGTTTTATGTTCGAGTTCAAGTTTATTCTAGCTAATGCTGTTGATGAAACAGATCAATATCAGTATCTGGGCAACTGCCCACCTACCCCTTCCCTAACCCAACATTAACCCTAACTTGTTATCAATTGACTGTTTTTGGGTTAGGGAAGGAGTAGGTGGGCAGTTGCCTAGATACTGATATTGATCCAATGAACCTACAAGTGCAATTTAAAGTGACTTCAAGGCTTTTAGGCAATAGAACCCCTCTTTCATAATTCACAGTTAACAAATGGATATAGTTCTCTGTGTGTGTTTTGTTCTTCACTGCAGGGTGGGAAGTATGATGCAAAGGCATTACTCAGTTATTGTTATTATGGTGGAATGATTTACACAGCTCTGAAAAAATTTGAAAAAGCTCTGTACTTTTATGAAGTGGTGAGTAATCTTAAATGCTGTGAACATGTTTAATGAGATAGAAAATTATGTTTTAATCTTGTAGACAAGGTATTTCTATATCTCTATCCCATTTCCGTAGATGGTGATTTGTGCATGTAAAGTATTATTTTTTTATGTTGTTCATTTTGTATCTGTTGTACTGAGATCCCCTTAGACTTTTGGTACCTCAAATAAAATTTTACTTGATTAATTTAAGGTATCCATAATAATTGCTTTCTTTAAGTATTAAAATGTAGTAGCACTTGCTTGTGTAATAGGAAAGTAATGTTCCTTATCAGGAGGTAAATAACCAAAAAATAAGCCTTTAGAAAGAACAATAAACTAAATATCATTTTATATGTTAGAAAATGTTAGAAAGCCTCTTTGTGACTTTATAAACTTAAGAAATATACTGAATGGTTGTCACACATGTCAAATTAGGTGGCAGATTGAATTGCCAGAGGTCTGTTTTCCAAATCAATAATTTCCTAACTCTTAACTTACATTTTTTGTTCTTCAGGCAGTCACCTGTCCAGCTGTTGATGTTAGTCATATAATGTTGGAATCATACAAAAAGTTCATCCTAGTTTCTCTCATTCTTCATGGAAAGGTGAGACTGATATCACTAATGTTTGTGCTTTGTTAGTTCATAGATGTTTTGCCCCATTGCAATTTCTCCCTAACAATTTCCCCCATCAGTTGCCACAGATTTTCACCACAGTCTCCTTTACCAGATTGTGTTCTTTTAGTCCTTTACAGCCTAAAATCAGTATGTATATTCTCCATACTGTTCGCTATACATTTCCTGAGGTTCTGACAAGGAGACTTTGTTCAACAATCTAGAGCTTCTTTAGTTGGTGATGATTTATTTTATTCTCATGATCCTAATGAATGATTCAGCAGTATTAATGTAGGGAGAAATTAGATGTGGGTCACTCTTAGGGTTTAAAGGGTTAAGAGAAGAGGGGAATAATAATGGTCTTAGTAAATTTCCAAACATGTGTAATTCATCTAAAAGGAAACACATTCTGCCTCTGAGGAAATTAGTTTAAAGATTCTTAGACAAATTTGTGGAGGTAGAGGTAAACTTGCTGTAGCTGATGGGATAAATGTGTCAATATGAGGCAAACTAGTAGTAGAGAAGAATTTGCAATGGGTTGAAACTTCCCGATACTGCTATGAATAATTACTGAAGCTTTTATTTTTGTGTTGAACTTTCAAGGAAAATGTAGCTAACCAACAGTTTGACTTACTCAACAGATTATGGACCTTCCAAAATACACTTCACATGTGGTAATGAGATTTCTTAAGGTAAGAATGAATTTAAAGACTTCTCATTGACACAAATGCATAATATAACTGGGACTCATATTGCCCTCTTGAAGATGATATTCGTCCATGCAAATGTGTGATGCATTGGTTTAAAACCTGTTTAGTTTTTTCACAGTGAACTATGTAATACAGTGTAGTGTGATATATTTTTATGCAAAGAGGTGAACTTGAGAGAATGGGAAACAAACAAACAAGAAAGGCCTTTTATCACTTCTTCCAAAAAGGCAAACTTTATTTATTGGTTATCTAAGAAAATAAGTGAAAGTTTTAAATGAGCAAATTTTCTTTTCAGCACTGTGGTATGCACCATATTTGTTATTACAAAACAATGATTGAATAAATCTCTGAAACAAAAAAACAATGGATGATTTAAAGAATCATTTGTGTATGTTTGATTATGCACAGCCTTTCAACAATATCATCACCTGTTCAGTTTACTTTTATAGAAGACATTGTACTTTTTATTTAAAATGAATGTATTTTATGTTATGTCCTTATATCTCAGCCTCTGAGTGCTTCATATCATGAACTTGCATCAAGTTACTCTTCAAACAATCCTAATGAGGTTCGAACAGTAGCTACAAAGAATGAGGAAACATTCAGAACAGTAAGTAAAATGTGGAATGAGTAGTTAAGTGTTATCTGTCAGCCAAGAAATTATTTCTGCTGTACAGAACACTTTTGGTATCCATAATCCCTTTACATCCTTACAATCCTTTTTCCCTTTTTAGGAAGGAAGTTCTGTACTTCCAAATGTAAATGCAAATTTGGGCTTTTGGAGGTAGTTAGAAATGAGATGAGCCAATAAACAAAATTGAAAAAAGGTAAAAAATAAAATGAATTGGCTACATATCGAGGGTTTTCCCTAATTTTTTTAAATAGTCCAACCTTAAATTGGAGATCATATATGAATTGATTGTATTGTCCAGATGGTTCTGATTCATATGATAATTTCTTTGGTTGATTTTTTTGATGGAGTGAAGCAGATCTCAATAGACTCTTTGTTCTTTGTTATTGTACTGTGTTTAAGAATAGTATGTAGTATTCTACTTAGCCAGTTGTGAATAATGGTAGATACCCCTTTTGACAAAAGTTAATTTATTATGTACTCTAGGACAACAACGTTGGTCTGGTGAAGCAAGTGGTTAGCTCTCTATATAAGAAGAATATTCTCAGGCTTACAAAGGTATTTTAACTGACAAGTTAAACTTGAAAAAGGAATACATAGTTACAAAACTGAGAAATGGGAACAGGTTTAGGTGGAGACTTGCATTCATTGCATTCCAAAGCAGGTGTGTTGGACATTAGAAAGTTCTTTGACTGGGTTCAGTTTTAAAATAGAAAAGTTAAGAGCGTGGGATTCAAAAGTGAATTTGACAATGTTCATTAGGTTCCAGTACTTAGTGGCAATTGACAAGAAAGCATTTTGGGTCCATCATTTTCTGATGGCATTATGCAAGTGAAGTAGGGTAGTTTGGTGTCATCAACTGAGTTGATAACGTAAATTGGCCACCGTAAAGAGTTTAAGAGCTGACGATTCAAGCATTAGCCCTTCGTCAGGGCAAATGATTGCGCTCTGACGAAGGGCAAATGATTGCGCTCTGACGAAGGGCAAATGATTGCGCTCTGACGAAGGGCAAATGATTGCGCTCTGACGAAGGGCAAATGATTGCGCTCTGACGAAGGGCAAATGATTGCGCTCTGACGAAGGGCAAATGATTGCGCTCTGACGAAGGGCAAACGCTCGAAACGTCAGCTTTGTAACTCTCTACGGTGGCCAATTTAACGTTATCAACTCGGTCGGTAAAACCAAATTACTCTGCTATACTCTCCCACCGCA